AATCAATGTTTCTATACAATGTCAGAAAAATAAGTTTTCTTCACCAACAGACAGAAACTTAAATATATTCAGTTTTTTACAACATGAAAAGAAAAAAGAAAAAAAAGCATCTGGTCGGATTATACAATAAATCAATCGGACTTTTTAAGATTAAACAATAACTTGTGTAATTAATCCACTAATCAAATGTGTTTTCATTCCTTTGTGCTGCAGTTATAAATGGGAGGCTATAGACCGGGATAATAAAGTGAGCTACACGCTGAAGCTCTGTGAGTCCTCACCGTTGACCGGCTGTGACCCCGGCACCGCCGTCTGCGCCCGGGACCTCACCACCAACACAAACCAGTCTGTCGGTGAGTACGGCCCACTGGTGTGCACTGGGATGTCGTACTGCTGGGGCTTTCGCTGTTGCATAATAAACCTCTTATCAGCCAGGTGTCTGTCGGAGAGATAACGGCTTATCACGGAGGCGGAACATCATCTTGGGATCTTTTGAAACATCTTGTAGACACTGTGCAGCTCACCTGTTAGTTTATACACACTCGCAGTAGTACAAACGGAAGAAAAATGTATAATAAACTGGATTTTTTCCTCATTAATTCAAGTAAATAATACTTCTTAATAACAATAATCCATTATCTGACATGAATCATACTCTTAATAACAATCTTTCTGTGCTTTTACGTGTTAAATTCCAATAACATAGGGTGTTCAAATACCTTTCACATTCTCTGCTTTTATCTCTAAATGTACACACAATTCGACTATTCTTTAAATATTTGCAGATGTTTTATGCAGCGGCGGTAAATTCCAGCTGATCGTGGCACCTGTTTTCTGAATCGTACATGTTTTAGCTTCAGGTAAATAATATAATATCTTCAGTGACAGTGAATTGTGTCAGATAACTGTGAAGAGTTAAAAGGTAACAGGAGTCTTAACAGCACAGCGAGCTGTTGGCTACGGCCGCAGGCGAGTTGTGTACTTGTCGCCTTCTTCCCGAGGAATGTGACACTAGTTTTCTCTGGCAAGCTTTCTGATTTGTATTTACAGATTTACAGGCCTACATACTCGCTGTACTTTGAACACAAGTAGCTTCTTGTAGCGGCACAGGGCGACTTTAAATATGAGCAGCGTCACCTTTGTCCCCACCGGAAGACAAACTCGATGTAAAAGAAGTGCAGTTTATTCATCTTTACAGTCTTATATAGCTCCGTTCAATCCTTTGTAACTTGGTCATTTATGTTTTGGACTAGTAAGGTACATGTGAGCTGACATACTGTCTGCAGTCTCTGATGCGTCCCATGTGTCTTATGACAAACACACAGCGGGACGTGTCACGCCGCTTTAGTGGCACCGCAGGAAGAAATCTACATCCGAGTGGGCGGCTGTCTTTATATAGCTGTGCTGCCATTGTTTTGAACATCACACTCACTCCATGTAGTCTGTTTCTGTGTGAAGCATGAAATTAGCTGCTGTAATGTTGGTTAGCAGGTGATCAGGGAGGTTTTCTTTAACTGTAAAGCTGAAATAACTTCAGATCAGTGGCCATGTAGGGAAAACAGAAGGATCTTGTTGAAAGTTGTCTGTAGTCTTGACCATAAAATCTGTGAACGTTAGTGTATGTTAACAGAAAAATATGAGACTTATAAAACAAATTTAGTGCTTTTTGTACATGTACAATATTTTAATTTTGTTTTTTAAGGATTTTTATTGAGATTTATTGATATATTTGATGTATTATTGCCCCCTCAATGTACTTTTGTTGATGATACTGTTTTAATTTTGAAGCGTTTTTCAGGCGTTTATCACCCTGGGTCAGTTGGATGTAGGGCTGCAGCTTAGGATATAACTGTAAAATGTCAGAAAAAAGGAAAAGAAAATCACTCCAAAACCCAAAGATATCCATTTAACTCTCATGTATGGCATCAAATCCTCACATTTGAGACGGTGGAATCATTAAATCTCTGGCCTTTTCTGCTTAAACTATTATTCAGTCATACACATAGTTGCTGATTAGTTTCTGTTTATCAACTCATTGATCATTTCATCATGGAGCCCTTTATAGACTATTAGTAGATAATAAGTTAATATAAGACCTGATAAAGATCCTGCTGGGATTGTTCAGCTGTTTTCCTCCAAAAATGTGAATTATATTGACAGAACAGCATCAATTAATGTACGTTTTGCTGGTTTTGTGATACATGTGGCTGTATTAATGTCAGCCTATAAGCAGTGAGAGGTTAGTTATTGTAGGCGAAGTCCTGCTGTATGCCTGAGAGGACGAGAGGCGTCATTGCTGTTGGGTTTTTTTTAGTCACTCAGTCCTCAGTCCTGTTGCTGACTTGACTGCTGAGGGGTTTTCTAAATGCTCGCCTAAGTGAAGTGAAACTGTACGCTTCAGTCTTTGGGAGCTTTATCGATACATCTGCTCTCTCTGCTGATGAGGCCGAATCTGCTGTTATATGTCAGCAAGATCCACATCTCTGCCCCAGACCAAGTACCCCTCACTGCAAGCTGGAAAGCCAGGAGGGAGCAGCAAGTTTAGCACCACCCACCACCCCAAAACTCAACTCACTCAGCAATGAAAGAAATCGCTATATTGTAACAATGCATTTTGCAATGTTTTTAGGCAAGGGAAACCTATAATGATAGGTCAAATTTACTTAAAAGTCGGGGTGATTGGACATAATTTGAAGGTAGTGCAGGATTCACAGGGATCTGTTGAATCATTTGCAGTGACTGTTGCTACTGCAGCTTCCTGGAGGGACTGATTTAAAGTTGTGTTAAAGAAAGCAAAGCAGCTTGTAACAAAAAAATCAAATCATCAAAACCTTGTTAAACCAGAGAGAACCACAGAAAGAAAGACTGGAGGTAAAACAACCGCCTGCAAAATAAAGGCCAAGATTTTCACACAGGAAGTAAAATTTTAGCTCTCACAGCTTTGAAGGGATTTTGGGCTTCTTGTAGACCAAATCTAAGACTCAGAGTCATATTTCACTTGAATGTAAGCACATATTCTTTTGGGGGGGGATTTCCTGGAACAGATGATGCTGTAAGTTTTCTAGGAAGGACAGTCTCTCTTTCTAGGTTTTTAAACGTTTAACCACAGGATTAAACATGCAGGTGTTTCTTTAACCTGCTGAACAGCGTCAGGACAACTTTAATACGTTAGGAGCCGAGCCGCGCTGTCCGGACCGTTTGTGGTTAACGTGTAGAGTTTGACTTGCTGCCTCCCGTTCAGACCTGACCTTCAGTGAACAGAGACGGCCCTGATCTCTATTTAATCATGCTGTCTTAAATTGATTATTCTAAGGCAGCGGCTGTCATGCCTTCTGTTTGGAAGCAGAGAAACAATCATGCCCCTCGCTCCCTGTTAACCAATTTAAATGTAGTAATATTGGGGGAATTGATAGAGCAGAATCAATTAGTCAGTCGACAGTAAATTAATTGGCAACCGGTTTGATAATTGATTAATCGTTTCAGTTTCAAAATGCGAAATATTTTCTTCAATGTAAGCTCTTTTCTCCAGTAATCCTAATATCAAACAAAGACATTCGAAGGCATCAGATTGGGCTCTCAGAACCTCTGATGGGATCTTTAATCAAATACATATAAACAGATTAATAAAAATAATTGTCAGCTACAGCTCGTAAAAAGCAGCACAATTCAAAATAGCCGACTTCCTGTTGGGCTTGGGGTTCTCGTCTGCTGAAGGCTGAAGATGAATCATTAAACTTCATAGGAAACGACAGCGGTGGGTTTCATATAGGTCAAGGGTTTCCAGTAGACTACCATAGAAGTAATCAACCAAAAAGTCAAGCTTGGTGTCATTTCATTGAAAGAACCATTAGAAGAGCACAAACTTTATTCTTCCTTTCTCCTTTTATATGAATTACCTTTGTGCAAATTAGAGCTGCAATCATTATGTGAATCCAAAAAGATTGTATTCAGATTAATGCTATTGTTTAATATTTTGTCATTTACAGCTTCTCAAATGTCAGTCTTTGCTGCTTTTCTCTGTCTTATGTGATAGTGAGCTGAATATCTTTGGGCTTTGGGGGCTTTTTCACTATTTCATGACAATTTTTTTAACAGATAAAATAAAAAAACAACCAGCAGATTAAACGTTTATGAAATTAATTGCAGCCGTGATGCAGATGGAAACTGTCAGATTTGACACCATGCCTCCTCCTCCTCTTCCTCATATATATAAAGGTTCAAATCTCTCCATCTTGTATCTCGTCGCTCTGCTCTCAGAATGAGACTTGCTCTCTTGCTTTGCTAGCGTGGAAGCGCTCTTGTATTGTTTATTGTTCCCACATCAATCAGATTCATTCAACTTTAGTTCTGCTCCACATGTTTCCACCCTGGTTCACATGCCCCCCCCCACAGGAAAATAAAACACTAATTAAAGGTTTGTTTAGCCCAGGGGACCAATGTGCTGCTTCCATTATCATCCAATAACAGACACATTTGTGATGCAGTTCTAAGGTTTTTTTATACTGTTTGAAGAACAAATGCACAGAATCATAAAATGTTGTTTACACGTGGTTTTAAATCTGAAACTGTACTTTCCAGTTGGTCACAATCAGCACTTTCTGTTTCAGAAATAGTGATTCAATAATCCCACGGTTGTTATGCTGTGCCATTACATTAGATCCCAGATGTCACATGTCGTTAGCTACTGTTAGTATGAAACACGGATATCCGAAGATCACTTAAACCTCCAGACTTACTGCGAATATCTGGGCCTGTTTCTCTTAATTTTGCCCATGACCTTTCTAAAGAAGACAGGCTGCCAGACAGAGTTATTTCACAGTCCCACAACAACAACTTGTCCTGCAGTCTGAGGTTGTGACCTTCCCCTTGTGACAAATTGGTGTTTGCTAGCTCTCAGTCAGAGTGTGTCATCCGACTCAGATTTCTGAGGGTGACGGAGAGCCGAGTTGCTCACTGAAAGCTCTGGACTGAAGACTGCAGACTCATGTTGGGGAGGATTTGTTTCCCTCTCGTTTTATTTAAAAAATGGAAGTAGAGAGAGATGGTAAACAAGGAGCAGTGGGGTCATATGATCTGCAGTTTAATCATTCACGCTGACTTATCACATGACCCAGGAACACATCATCAAACACAAATAGACACAAGTCTAACTCTCTCTCTCTCTCTCTCTCTCTCTCTCTCTCTCTCTCTCTCTCTCTCTCTCTCTCTCTTTGTCTGTACTGTTTGCTTCAGGCTTTATTCATGCTGTCTTTTTGGCTGTGCTCTGAAAACCACACATGATCCATCCTCACACTTTTGACATTCGTGCCTACTTGTGCTTCCTCAAATCCAAAATCTCAGCAGTGACAAATGTTCACCTCACTGTAGAATTTAAAAAGATCCTGTAAAAAGTTTGTTTGTTTGCTCTTTCATGAAGCTAAATGCCTCTGGATTACAATAGATCACATTTGTTCCCACATTTTAATTAGAAAATAGTGAGATTAGGGCTACAACTAACAATTATTTTTCATCGTCTATTAGTTTTCTGATGGCTTTAGTGATTGTTTTTTAACATGTCAGAAAGTTGTGTTTTGAGTCCAAAAGAGAGAATCAATTTACTATCACATAAGACAACGGATCGCATCCTCACATTTTAAAAGCCGAAACTAGGAAATGTTTACTGTCTAATCTGCATGATGAGTACTTTTACTTTTAATACTAAAATGAAGTTTTTTTTTTTTATGATTCTGGCGGCCCCTGTGGATAAAAGCGGTAGTGTTTCCATCGCCTTGTTTCATTGATTTCAAGGGGAATCCGACCTGGACACAAGAATTAGAAATAACTATAGAAATAGGTCATATAGAGGCATCAGTATTAAAATTAGATGTTTAATAACTAGTTAAAGAAGGTATTGCAGTACGTTTAAATTGCATTTTGGTTAAAATAGTTTTGACTTTTACTAAAACGTTTTGAATACAGGATCATATTTGGCTTAAAATTATTTTTAAAAACTTTATTTTGAACTAATCCCAGTAAAGTTTTGCTATACTGAAATGATGAATTTACAGTTAAAAATAGTTGCAGATTAATTTTATCTCAATCAGCTTATTTGAATAGTTTCAGGTTTAAATGATCAAAGTGTCCATAGAAATGTCAGTGAAATCATGCATCCTGCATTATTCATCCTGCATTATGCACCTCTTTGTCGTAATACAGTCATAATACTACCAAAATATGACTGTAACTGAATATTATAGGACTATCAACAGGCTGCTGGGACATTGTGTCATCTGAATGACACAGACGGGCTCTGCTTACAGTGGTTGTGTAAATGGTGTTAGTAGGTCACATTGTTGTTCAGTTACATTCCTTTATCGTCCCTTGTGATAACAGTCTGGCCATATCAGGGGGAGCAGAGCACACACACACACACACACACACACACACACACACACACACACACACACACACACAAACACACCCTCCGAAAAGTTCATGCAAGTTTCTCTTTTACAGAAAGAGCAAAAGAAAAGATTTATAACAGAAACTGAAATAAAAACAGAAACAAGAGGACGAGGATGAGGTCATCGATTAAACAGGCAGATAAACAAGTACAGTTCATTACAAAGGGAAATGTAGTTGTAACACAACAGTGAGAACAGAATTTGATCCACATTTCAAGTTTCTGTTTAATCTAAATACCCGTTGGACTGTTTGACTTTTTGTTGATTGCAACTGAAACAATCTCACAGCTTCAAATTTAGTAACACATTTACAGACATCAGTTACATCGCAGTGTGTCATGTGGCTGCCTCGCTGCGAGTTTATTGAACTGCTCCAGTCTTAAAGGAGCAGTGTGTAAGATTCGGCTGCTCGCAACCAACTGAAACCTCTCAACCAAGCACAAAGGAGAAACGACTGCGAAAAGGTCCTATCTCGAGCCAGTGTCCGCTCCTCAGTGGTCTCATCAAATGAAGCAGATTGTATAGAAATCAAAGAAAATTACCTTACGTGATTTATTAGCTTTATGGTCCCCATCTCTAGTTTCGAGTATTCTTACATGTAGCATGAGGTTCATTTATTAAATTAAGGTTGCTTCTAGAGTAAACTAGATGATAAAGCAGGGTATGCTTTAGGCCGTGGCTAACTTCTGATTGACAATGTCCCCGGGTTCTCTGTCGGATCCCGTCGGGAAAGAGCCATAACAATGTGTAGCCTCCCCAGCTCCACGCTCTCATCCAGTCTTCCCTCTCTAGTGAGGGCTAATATTAACAGACCTATAAATAATATGTTTAATTTCTTCCAATTGAGCCTTTTTTAAATGTGCAGAACATTTCCCACTGCTCTCTGTTTCTACTCACACGATACATGACGACTCTGTGCTGACAGCAGGGTCGGGGTATTACGGTACAGAGGGGTTATCTTGTTTTTACAAGGCAGTGGGTCAGTAGAGGTTGGAGGGTTAAGACATTATACTGTCAGACTGTCTGCTGCAGTAACCTACAGCAGTAAACCGTCTGAGAACGAGAACCTCTGTCTGTGTGTCTGTGTGTGTTTATACTGAAATTTTATGAGATAAACATTATTAGATCATCTTTTTTTATGTCAATAACAACAGGCCAGGCACCATAACTTCTATATCACTTAAAATCAAATATTAAAAATCATGTACAGCAGATCTTAATGCAGCTCCACATAATTACATTGAGCTCCAAAAAGACATGCTTATGTAATTATCCATGAGAGGTAAGGAATACAACCAAAAGACAAGGGTGGGAAGAGTCTTAAAGAAGGAAAGTGAAGCTACATCTTTCCTTGTTCAGATGTTAATGTATTATCTATATTGTCCATTGGTCTGTAATTGACACTGTGGTTCTCTGCTTGAATGTGCAGGTGATCTGTCCCTGCAGAAGCTCTCTGGCACCGTGCTGGATTACAACAGCACGAAAAAATGTCCAGGAAGCAACAACAACATTCAGACCAGCATCAGCTTCCAGTGTGGGAAAACCATGGTAAGACTCAGAACATGCAAAGAAAAGTGTATTTAAACGGATGATTTGTGCTTTGTCCAGGAGCTGTGTTTAGTCTGATGCACAGGGGCAGTGGTGTTGAAGGTTAGAAAAGCAGGCTTGTGACCAGAGGGTTGATGGGAAAGCCCTTAATCTGAATGAATATTGGAATAAATAAGTATTTGTTATTAGTTGCTTTTGTTAGAAGAGCAGCTACTGAATGTGCATCCATTCAATGACATACTGTTTTGTTTGGAGAGCTTACAACCTAATACATTGTGTGTTTATATACACTTGTAGGTTCAAAATATATTTAATATATTGTGGTCACCTTTTTAAAAAGCCCCTCTTGAGTTGACACCCTTCTATTTAGACTTTCCTTTGTTTCATTTTTAATGAAAGTAAATATCTAATCTACATAGTAAACACTTATTTGAATGCAAAGCGTTTATCAAAGAGCGAGCTGTTATGCGGTCGGGCTGTGACTTGCAAGTTGGCTCTGGCAGAGTGATATGACAAGCTCTTTAGTGGGAGAGAAGTTTTTTTCACTGTGTCTGTTTCCCTTAATTTTACAAATGGTGCTGGAGATGGAGATTTACGTCCATGTAATTAGGTTTAATCAGCAGGAATGCAGCTGTCGTATCTGCTGCATGCCATCACTGACACTTAAAACATGCTACAGAGGTGCAAAATGCTAAAACAATATGCTTGAGAATAAAGTCCCACCATGATCATGCACTTTCACCGTTGCGCAATAGTGAGCAAATGTGCTAGTCAGGTCGGTACGTTGTGACTTGCTGATTTGTTGGGCTGATAAAAGGATTAAACCCCTCCCAATAGTTTTGAGCTTTCATTTGACTCCTCTTTCAATGAGTTGGAATTCTGTTCTTCTTCTCTAAAACTAATATATACTTAAAAGAAAAAAAGCTAAAATGACATTATAGGTAACCAGAAGCAGTTGTCTGCCATCAGCTGCAATAAAAGGAACTGAATCTGAAAGTAGAACGACGCAGATGACAGTCACCTGCTCTATATTTCTGCTCATTTGAGTCAATACTGCGTGTCTGTGGTTTCAGGGGGCGGCTGAGTGGTGGGTGTCATTTCCTGTCAAAAAGCAGGTTTTGTGTTTTAACAGAAGATGATCGGCACTAGATTTTCAGTTAACAAAGTGTGAAATGGAGAAATGAAAGTGACTACTATTAAACATTTCAATAAGTCATCTAATGCTGACAAATGGAAGAAAGCAGGAATGGGAATGGAGATAATCCGTAATCATAATTCGCCTCAGAAGAACTGTGCCACTGATAACGCGTGAACATTTAAAGTGTATTTGTTTAGTCATTTTCAACACTTACAGACATCATTTATTTCTTGCTATAGATTCTTTATGCAGAGCTAAGTGGTGATGTTTTAATGGTGTTGATATTATGTGTGAATTTGACTTGATAAGCCCAAAGATTAGTGGCTGTAGCTTCGGGGTCTGAAAAGAGAAACCAATGCGGAAGGGCCTTTAAAGGTCCAGTGTGTAACATTTAGGAGGATCTATTGGCAGAAACTGAATATAATATTCATAGATTCATTAGTGTATAATCACCTAATAATAGGAGGAGTTGAATTTTTGTTACCTTTAGAAAGCATTACCGTCTTTAACTACGGGGACAGCGGGTCCCTCCACGGAGGCCGCAATCTTGCCCCACCATGTTTCTCCAGTAGCATGATGTTCATTTTGTAAGTTATGGTCCCATATAGACGATAACAAGGTAGTCAGATCAGTCAGATCCAATTGGGATAGAGGTGTAGAAATGTGTATCCCAGCTCCATGCTCTCGACCAAATACAGTCATTTCCGGGTCCAACAATTCACGATGGCGACGGCCATAATGTCAAAATGGTAGTCCTTAATCCAATGGGTGACAAACCCTTAACTTCGTTTTTTGCTGGTTATATTTAGGGCTCTATAATAATAATAATAATGATTATTATCCATGTTTATTTAATTGCAGTCTTCTTCTTCCCTGCCTTTGTTGGTGCATTATAACCACCTGTAGATCTAGAGGAATAGAGTGAAACCGTTGGCAGAAATGTGTGTCACATCACCCCGTGTGGTGCACAAGAACAAACAAAATGGGGACTGACGTCTAAAATAATTGCTTCATAGTGATACTAGAGTCAACTGGTACCAATAATTGATATATAACATTCATCCTTGTTGTCTTGATGAATCAAAACTGAATCAATTAGCTCAACATTCACATAATAGTTCCATCAGTGATCCACCTCAGCCAAAAGGTTCTCATACAGCACTGGAAATCTCTAAACTACGGGTAAAAAAAATACAGAACCGCTCATAAAATGGGAACTAAAAGTGGGAATGAAACCCACTCTCCTCTCTCTCTCAACAAGTGCTCTGGTGAAGCCCTTGAGCAAGCACTGAACCTTCAATCACTCCAGCAGCAGCAGACTGTGGTTGTGCTGGGGCGACTATGTCAAAACCTTTGACCTGTGTTTCTATAATGTGTTAGTCACCTCCCCCATATCAATGAGAAACTATCTGTCTTACTCATATTCCTGTGGTTGTGTGTTCCAGGGGACCCCGGAGTTTGTCGCAGTGTCTCAGTGTGTTCATTACTTTGAGTGGAGGACCTACGCCGCCTGCAAGAATAATAAGTTCAAGCCCCACAAAGAGGTATGTGGTGGAATATCTGATGGGCGGATCGGATGTTTTATGTCTAAGACAGAAAGGAAACTGCCGTGTCTGTCGTGATGGTGTGATATGTAAGGAACAATGAGCCAGAGAGGTGTTTAAGAGGAACTGAAAAGTTTCCACTGTTATGAGGCTGTGCAGAGTTTACAGCATGTAGAGGACAGGTCACATGTCATCACAACAAAGCTTCTAATGTGAGCTTAATGTGGAATAACTGAAGGAATGTGTGAAATGAATTAAACTGGCTCTCTTAGCAGCAGATATGGATTGCAAAACAGCAGCAACATATCGTTTGTTGGTCAGATCAGAGAGAATCTTTTTTTTTACAGATATAAACATAAACAAATTGGGAAATCTTTAATATTTTTGTGCGTCTGTGACATAGTTGTTGATTAAATTAACCAAAGAACTACCCATTAATTTAAATCCAATAATGGGAATGTGCATTGACAGTGTTAAGAAAACTTATTGTATCCTAACAAGTTAATACATTAACTGAGAGTTTATTACATTGACAGATGTATCTCAGTTTAAAGGGGATTTTTATCACATTTAGGTACATTAATCAGTTCAAATTACTACAGTGTCAGATGCTACGGACCTGCAGGGACCTGATGCTGTGTAGAACCATTTACATAAGCAAGATGAAGCAAAAGATTTTAACTGCCACACAAAGATCTGATGTTGCAGTTCTTATCTGTATCTGATGGCTTTCTGTATTTTCATGGCCTCTATAAATACCTTCTACCAGAACCCTCCATTTTCCTCTATGGATATACCTTCAAGTGATTATGTAAATAATGTCAGTACTGTGGTATGAAGCTACCTCCTCTGTGTCCAGGTGCCCTGCTATGCGTTTGACTCGGACGGTAAGAAGCACGACCTCAACCCTCTGATCAAAGTGAGAGATGGCTATCTGGTGGACGACAGCGACAACGACATCGACTTCTACATCAACATCTGCCGAAGTCTCAGTGAGTACCCGAGGGCGGGTGGAACAATGAACAGATGATTGAATGAATACATTATTTTAATAGTATTTAGTAATACTGAACTAATTGTATGTATTTTTTAAATTTAGTTATGAGAAATTCTTGAATTTGGTTGAAATCTGTATTTATTAAGATTCTGAAAAATATGCTACAACCTTTTATTCTATAATTAATATATATTCATGCATTTAAATGTTATATTTACAAAAGTCATTGCTACTTGATCAGCCGTTCCCAACCTGTGGGTCGGGACCCCCTGCTAGGGGTAGCCAGTGCTTCACCGGGGTTAGAGAGACATGACTGTTTAGGATGTAGGATTGTTAAAATAAAATAAGACAAAGACAGAGAATTGTATAAAAAGCTCCATAAATTTCATATATTGTAAAATACTTTTGATATGTTTACAGTTGGCTGTATATTAGCAGCCCACAAAGTTTAGTTCCTATTATACAAACTTCTTTTTCTTTCCAATCATCTCACATCCTTCCTTGTTCTCTCTCAGACCTTCCAGACAAATCCTGTCCAGAGGGCTCTGCAGCCTGTCTGGTCACCAGTCAGGGCTCCTTCAACATGGGCTCTCCCACCAGTCAGCTAGAGCTGGTGTCCAGCGACAGGTATCTTTCTTCATGAATGCTTTCTAATAGTTAGGAATGAGTTGCAGCTTCCTGTCTGGACAAATCTTCTATTGTTTATTGTAGATATCTGTCTCGATAGCAACCTTTATTGAAGGATAAACTTTTAATGTAACCAAATAAAAAGCTGATTTTGAAAAGGGGAAATCTTTTTATTATTTATAACTTATTTTTAACTTGTCTTGTCTTCCTCTCTTAAGACTGAGGTTACAGTACACAGTCAGTGCGGATTCAGCGACTCCAGCCAGCTGCTTAGGACACGATCCTGCAGTCACCATCACTTTCATCTGTCCATCAAGCAGACATTCAGTAGGTTACACTCATTTATACCTTTCATCACTTGCAAATCCTTTGTCATATCTATTTGTTTTGTTTTGACCTGGTTTTCACGCTTTTCTAATGAGCTTGCAAAAATTCCCGCTTTACTAAAAGTGACTTTTGGTTTCACAGGGCAGCACTCCTAAGATGACGGCAGAGTTGAACTGTCGCTACGAGGTGGAGTGGGTCACAGAATACGCGTGTCACAGAGACTACCTGGAGAGCCATACCTGCAAACTGACCAGCGAACAGCATGACCTGTCCATAGACCTAACACCTCTCACCTTGAGCTGTAAGTAGTTCCCCCTCTAAACGAGCCACAGGTCAGGTCCAGCCTGTGACACAAGACCCCCTGTAACCACCTGCAAAGAATTTATTGTTGCATACGTCCCACAAATTAAATTCTTTATATTTATTTATATTATTTATTCTTTATAAATTCCTTGTAAATTTTTTTTTTACAAGACTGCAAAAATGGAGGATAAAAATTTCACATTTAACATAGCAAGCTTTACCACACTGCTCAACTTGACAAAATGAAGTCTTTAACTTTTGGACAATAGCCGATTTACCTTATTATTTTAATGAAGTTTAATGCAACTTCTTCCTGTCTTTTATCCAAGGAATTTAATCTCAAGCGGTCTTGCTTTACTAAACTTGGAGAGCAGTAAGTTGTAAAGCTTCAGAGTGAACACAGTTGAAATTTACAACTAAAAACATACAAAAAAAACTGGCCTATGTAATTTGAATTAAAAACTGTAATCACATGTGTTTATACAGTAATTAAACCCCTTAAGGAAGTTAGTAGCAACCAACAGGCAGTAACTTGACACACACGTCCTCATTCTTCAAACTAGTTCTTACAAGGAAGAACACACAAACACAGAAGTTTCTTCCTTCAACGGGCATGAAAGTAACAAACTGGACAGCTAGCCAAATACTCCCACATGTAACTACAAATATGGTTATTAAAGGTGTGCTTTTTAAATTAAAATAAAGCTCAAAAATTCCCTCTCTCTCTTGAATTATCCACGATTACATATTTAGAATTATTGGCTCATAGCGCTGCTTTTTATATCGCGGTTAGAGGAAGTAGCTTTATAAGTAAACTTCACTGACCTTCCTGGTTTTTGCCAGCTCATTGTTGATGATAGAAAAAGCCTTTTCCACTTATTGTCACTGTCCATGTTTGATCTGTGTGTGCCATGTTGTAGGCTTTACTAGAAGTACTGTATCTCCTGGTGTGAAGTGGTTGTACATAGAAATGTCGGGTACTGCTTTGCGTAATGTTTTCTTGCTTTGAGTTACATGAAAATAATAAAAATAAAACAGTCATACTTAATCGAACTGAGATTTATTCATTGGACAAATATATCAGCCTTAACCCTCTGACGCCATTTTGTGTGTGTGTGTGTGTGTGTGTGTGTAGCTACAGATAGTCCGTACTATGCACATTCTGGACCCAGTGACGGGGACGAAAGCTACCTGTACTACCTGAACGTGTGTGGACAGGTCACCACTAATGAATGTGGCGAAGACAAGTTTATATCGTCCTGCCAGGTGAAGAAGTCCGGAGACGTGAAGAAGGTGGCAGGAAAATATCACAACCAGACTCTACGGTAATATGTGTGTGTCTGTGTGTGTGTGTGTGTGTGTGTGTGTGTGTGTGTGTGTCTGTCTCTGTGTGTGTGTGTGTGTGTGTGTGTGTGTGTGTGTGTGTGAGACTTTGCATGCTCTGGAGACTTCTGCTGGTCAAACCGTCTAACTTCTGGTTTAGCCCTCCATTAACTTAAATGGGTTAAAATTATTTATTTGTGCTCCTCTTCTAGACTTTAAAAATGTTAACAGACCGAATGGATCAAATCCTGATTCCACTGTTTTACAGTTGCAATGTAACATTTTGGAAGAAAGACTCCTTCTGGCAAATTGGCTTCAAAGCACAGTGCTCTTCCTGGGGGCTTGATCTCAACCTCCTAGCTTGCTTCTGGACCAATTTCTGCTGGAAAAGGACAGTCTTGTTGGATTTCTGGCATATCAGAAATGTTGGACTTTTGTCTTGCTGTCTGAGCAGTTGCACAGTCCAATTGCCCTCATGATGATACTGTAAAAATATCAGCTGTAAACTGTAGTGAGCTTGTTTTTATTATTATTGCTGTAGTATTTTACATATTGCGGCCTAAACTTGCAACTTCGCTGCAGAACAGACACCATATTGACACATACAGATCGCTCAGCCTGCTGGCAGCGAACACGCTCATTTGTGAGGCGTCCAAAGCATTCTGTTTAATCATTATTATGCAAGGATGTTAACTGTGTGTTGGCCCATGTAATGAAGACAAACGAACCACAAACAAACGGGTGGGGGATCAAATGTGATCTGATGAATATTACAGTGTAACCTACGACACAAACACTTTTAGGGTCAACCTGCACGTGACTTTCAACAAATGTTTTTGATGATTGATGTTATTCAGAAAAGTAGGGACACACTACAGAAATAGTGGCACAGTTCAGGTAGAAAATGTTCAGCATTGGCTCATTGATGAAATGTCACTAACATTATTAAGTGTATCAACGTTTTCTTCGTCATCTTCTAACCCTGTTTCTTCCCCCCTTGTTTTATTTTTCATCTTTAGTTATTCAGATGGAGATCTGACTCTGATCTACCCAGATGGCACCCGATGCTCCACTGGCTTCCAAAGAATGACCATCATCAACTTTGAGTGCAACAAGAATGCATGTAAGACAGAAGTTTCAACTTTTCAGGGTTTAACAACCAACAATTCAACCGTCTGGTGGTAGTATAACTAATTACAGAGACAGCAAGGCATGCTGCTACCTTGAGATGGTCTTCCTACTATGAATTCTGTACATTTGCCTTTTTTTCTGCAGCCAACGGTGGGCGAGGGAATCCAGTTTTTGCGGGGGAGACGGACTGCACTTATTACTTTGACTGGGAGACAGCCTTCGCCTGCGTCAAGGAGAAGGAAGATCTGCTGTGTCGAGTCAGAGACGGCAAAAAACACTATGACCTTTCACCTCTCACAAGATACCCTGGTAAGTTTAACAACAAGGATGTGGTTGTGGCCATATTCACTCAATATAGACCCCATGACCTTCTTTCTGTTAACATTTGTTGCTGAAAAATCACCTTCCTCTGCATCTCTGTATGTTGCTTCAGGGTCGGATGCCAGTGGGAACTGGGAGGCGGTGGATGCTCAATCTTCAAAGTCAGGCTCGCGTTTCTACCTGAATGTCTGTCACAAAGTCATCCAGTCAGGTGGTGCTGATGGCTGCCCGGTGAATGCCTCCATCTGTGCCGTGGGTAAGTGTCGCCACAAGGATTTCTGAAGACTGAAGTATTGGGACTATTGCTGATCTTTTTCCACAAAAACATTTAATCAAGGTAGTATAAGAATGAAGGGAAGGCAAGGAGTTGTAAAGCAAACAGTGAGCTGGTAGTCGGAGCTAACCAGCCATGAAACCTTGCACCAAAAAATACTAAGTAGAGTTATTGCAAAAACTAGCATAAACTCTAGTCATGCTTCTTACGGTCCGAGTCAAACGCATAGCAGGGCACCTGGACACAGAGGAGGTAGCTTCATATCGCAGTACTGACATTATTTACATAATCACTTGAAGCTACATCCATTTAGGAAAATGGAGGGTTCTGGTAGAAGGTATTTATAGAGGCCATGAAAATACAGAAAGACTTGGGCTCAAAGCCGAGGCTGGGGGAGCTGGGCCGCAATCTCTCTTATTAGAGGCCGGTAACACTCATCTTTTATGTCATGACATAAAATATTCCCAAATGGTCGACTCTGTGTCAGCATTAGCCTTCCAAGGTTTTCTTAAACACTAAAATTGATGTGTTTCATCACATTACAGTCCTTAGTACTTAAGTTTACAGCTCAAAAAATATGTTTGTGTGTTCAATGCCTCTTTGAAAAGCGATATCTTTTTAATGGATGGCATATTCCTTTATTACAGTGAACATGAGCAGTTTATTGATTGTGTTTCTCTGCTTCAGATAAGGATCATAAGGCCATCAGTCTGGGCAGCTTCCTCTCATCTCCGCAGAAGACTAAAATAGGAAATGTGGGAAGTGACATCAGACTGGTGTATACTGATGGAGAGTTTTGCAATAAAAAGATGAGGATCCAAACGATCCTCACCCTCAAGTGCAAACCAGGTAGGTTGAGATAAGTATTCATTAAGTATATTTTCTTACTTTTCTCTCCGACTTCTGTCGTTGCTCCTCCTCCGACACCTTTCTTCTCGTCGTCTTGCAGGAGACCTGGAGAGCGCTCCTGTCCTTCGTAGCGTTTCGTCTGACGGATGTGTGTACGAGTTGGAGTGGTACACTGCTGCCGCCTGTGTCCTCTCGAAGACGCGGGGCGACAACTGCAAGGTGGAGGACCCTCAGGCTGGTATGACAAACACACACGTTTGATCAATGTGCTTCCTGACTGATCAGTAAGACAAGAAATAAACAGCAGGGTTCATTGGAGTGTTTATCTGTGGAAAAACTATTTTTAAGCACAAAAAATGACAGTCAAAATGTCCTTCAGAGAAATCAAGAGAGTACCTTTTTACTTTTTGTACTTTAAATACACTTCAGAGCCTTTACTTTTCCCTTTTAGTTGATTAGTTAAATCAGTACTTCTAGTTTTACCAGAGTATCTGTACTTCTACTTCTTCTAGTAAAGAATGTGTGTGTTTTTGCCACCTCTAATCTTAATACATATGTGGAAGGGATCTAAGTCAGCTGTGAAGATGATTCACCACTCATCCATCATCATCTCTACACCTCTTTAAGTCACATGAGCATGTTGAGCTCACAATAGGACCATTAAAAATTATACTTGTGCTGCCACCTACCTGTTGCTGCATGATCTGTCCCTCTGAATTGGTCCCATCAGACCAAATGCGGATGTGATTCTACTTCGCTTCTACTTTAATCCTCTCCTCTAATTAGCCTCTGTCCGCCCCACAGACCTCTCCTTCGACTTGTCGCCTCTCTCCAAAGCCGACGGTGGCTACTACAACCTGACCAGTGGCCACTATGACTACTTCATCAATGTCTGTGGTCCTGTCAAAGCTGCCAGCTGTCCTGTAAAGTCCGGCGCATGTCAGGTGGAAAAGAGGTGAGAAGGAGCAATGGACATGCAAGCAGGAGCAATCAGAAATGTTCTTATACTGCATGTGCACACTAGATCAACATACAGTGTGTCTGTCTGCTGTAACATGGGTTGATATTGTTTTGTAATTACAATTGTGAAAATTAGTGTCCACACAGACACTGGTCATTGGTTAAAACATTTTTTTCCTACTTTTAATTACTGCTTTATCCTGTTGTAGTAGATCTCAGTTGTCCTTTTTTCAAATTTGCAGTGGAAATTTAAGATATGGAAGAGTACCATGTTTTGTGTGGAGGCTTAAATGGGTACTTCTTACCGCCATCAAGTCCAACTAGGTTAATGTGTGCTGGGTCAACAAACAAGAAACATAAATCTGCACACTTAATAGCTCCCATAGGAATGTTTTTTAATATGCAAGTAACATTTGTATATACTGTAATTTCTTTCTGTATATTTTGTGTATATATGTATCTATGTGATAAGCTTTGTATCTTCTACCATTATTCTACTTTATCTAGGAATGAGGTGGGATGTGTCAAGACAAGATGTTTTGTGGCTATTTAAGATGGAGACTTTCTGTCTGAGGAAGAACCTTGTGCTCGAAATGTCATTTGCATATTAAAAATGTTTCTACAGGAGCAATTAGGTGTGCAGAGACATTGAGAAAATGAGAGAAACGAGTAATTAACCAATCTTTGAACCACTATATAAATATTGGCTGTAAAATTAGTAAAGGGAAATGTGAAGTAAATTGACCGTAACTAATTGGATGATATGATGGGCTTCTAATTTTTCCCTCTTTTGCTTCAGTTCTTGGAGTCTCGGGGAAGCAAACTCCCGTCTGTCGTACTATGACGGCCTGATCCAGCTGACCTACAGTAACGGCTCTCAGTACAACAACAAAGAACACACTCTCAGATCCACGGTTATCTCTTTCCTCTGTGACCCAGAAGCTGGAGCTGGAAAACCAGAATTCCAGGTAAACTCCTCCCTTCTTCTTTCCTCTCATTGTTTAAACTCTGTGTTTGGATGCTGTGTATTTGTTATTTTCAACTCTTTTTTATTTTATGAATCCAGGTTGAGGACAACTACACCTATAACTTCCGCTGGTATACATCCTACGCATGTCCCGAAAGGCCTCATGAGTGTTTGGTGACAGATCCCAACACTCTTGACCAGTACGACTTATCCAGGTAATGCATTGATACATATTTTCTCACGTTGCATTAATTCATCCATCAACCACCATGTTTTTTTAGGCATTATAAAATAACATACACATAACACACAAACAAGAAAACACAGCTTCAGTCCAGATGTTATTGTAACCAACCTGCCCTCCTCCTCACCTACTTTTCACCTTCTTCTGCCTCCAGCTTGTCACGCTCCACCACCGGTAGCAACTGGCAGGCCATGGATTTGACTGCAAACACAAAGTACTACATCAACATATGTCGGCCTATCAACGCTGTTCAAGGCTGCGACCGCGACGCGTCCGTCTGCCAGATGAACTACGTACAAGACAAGGTCTGTAACAGCTGGAAGCCCAAAAGACAATTGTGACTTAAAGATCGCCATCAGACATGTATTAATACATACATACATACATATACATACATACATACATACATACAAACATATATAATCTGCTTGGAATAATAATGTGTTTTAATAACATAAAAAACCTTAAAAAGGCATCTTCCCCTTCTACCTTATTAATAATTTTTCCTGCTGGACACTGGTGGCTTCAAGTTTCTACATCACATTTGTATTAAGTTGCATACTGGACTAGGATGGAGGCTCTTAGCAGTCTTGTACAGTACCTTGGTCTTGGCCCAGTCCAGTTTGTAGTCCTTAATCACCTCATAATTTCTGTACCTCTGATGGAAGCAGCCTCACCCCTGTATTTAGCCTCTTGTTTCCTGCTGATACACTAATCATTAAAACGTCAATATAGTCACAAAAACTAGAATTTCACAAAGCTCATACATATGGTAGCCTTACATTCAGAAGCTCCTGAATAGTCATCTGATCAGTCATACCGTCTAATTAATAACATTTTAATGGTGAATGCAGACTGTATTGTCTCTTGAATGTTTCCTCGCCTCTGTCCTCAGGGCTCTCCAAAGGAGGTCGTATCAGTCAGTAACATGGGTATTTCCAAGCGAGGGCCGATCATCGAGGGACGGGACCGGCTGCTGCTGGAGTTCACAGACGGCTCTGCCTGCATGTCGGATGGCCAGAAGCTCACATACACAACACGCATCCACCTGGTCTGCTCCAGAGGATCTGTGGTGAGTCTGGCTTGTAGTTTAGACAGTAAAGTGGAGCGTTGCTTGTTAGCGTCTAATGTTTTTGCATTGTGTCTGAGATATGACTCTGTTTGTGTTCCACACTGTGCAGTCAGTGGGTCCGCGGTTCCTCATGTACCAGAACTGTACTGCCAACTTCATGTGGGAGACCAGGGCAGCTTGTGCCATCACCACCACCAAGAACAATGTGAGTTCGCCTAGATAACAATAATAACTTATTTATGCACAATGATTAGACAGCAGTTTGGAAAAATGTTACACTGGAAAGACAAACAATGTTACAAAATGGTTGGAAGAATTAAAAACATGTTGAGATGATGTCTTTGTGTCTCAGAGCTGTGCTGTGGTGGACCCCAACACTGGCTTTGAGTTCAACCTTCAGCTTTTGGCCTCTAAGACTGGATACAAGATAAATGCGAATGGCAAGGACTTCCTGGTAAGATGGACACATTGATAGTGCCCTGCCACCAAATGTGCATACCACTCATCATGGAAACACCCGGGAATTGATCAAAATGAACAAAATTTGAATTGTATTTTAGCCCCTCACTCATACATAAACCCTGGTGCGTATTTAGTTTTAAACTCGACTGTTGGTAGATTAAGCTGCACGTTATAACTCACTTCAAAGTGAGTTTAAGTGTTACTTGTGCATGCAACAAACAGGTTCACTTACTAGAAGATACATTTTCTGTAAAATAAAATACATTCTACGTGATTTGAACTGTTATTTATGGGCTGTGGCCAAATTAATGTCACGGTTGGAGGAAAACTGTAGTAAACTGTAGTCATTTAGCCAGAAAATCACTACGTATGCCAAGCTGCTGCTAACACTGAGTGTCCCATAAACGCTGACCACCCACCTGTAAGGCAACTCCCTGTATCATTAAAAAAGCAGGAAGAAAAATAGGGTTAAATGTGTCGGTACAGTACAAAAGTATAATCCCTCCTGCTTACCACCCTGTAGGTGAATATCTGCTCAGACATAGCAGCCTGTGGAAAAGACATGGCTGGCTGTGAGCTGGAAGACGGGCGTCCTGTGAGCCCAGTGGGGGTCGAGAGGACCCTCCAGTACTCCACAGATGGCCTGTTCTCGCTAACATATAAGGGACCCGTGGACAGTCCCACAGGTATAAGGAATGCAAAATTCAGTTGTATATTCACAGTAACTGAGTGTCGTGTTAATCAGCTGTGGTGCATTTGCATTTACTGTTTTTACAGCTGCAGGATTTGAACAGGAAATGATGTTATGTTAGACCTTGAAGAGCTAAACATATTCATACCTCTGCACTTTATTACATCTCAAATTTTCCTTCTCCATCAGCAACTCGGGACACCTTCACCATTAACTTCGTGTGTGATCCGAACTCTCACCCTGGCTCGTTGAAACTGGTGCAAGAGGACATGAGTTCCTTACCTAACCATGTGGTCCACAACGTCCTTTTTGAGTTCTCCACTGCTCTGGCCTGCATCCCTGCTCCAGTTGACTGCCAGATCATTGGTACGAGCGCACACACACACACACACACACAACTCTTATATGTAGTGGAAAGAGAGTAGTGTACTGTCTTTTATAACTATTGATAAATTGTTGGAGTTTCGTTATCAGTTATCATTAAGTTTTGTGTTCCTGTTTCTCTGATAGTTAATGTTATTTCTCCCTGAAGTGATGACAAACCATATTGGGATAAGGTTGTTTTACATCAAACCATTTAAGAGTACAGGCCTAACTAACTCCTTTTTCCTGTCTGTCTGTCTGTCTGTCTGTCTGTCTGTCTGTCTGTCTGTCTGTCTGTCTGTCTGTCTGTCTGTGTCTGTAAAGATTCTCACGGTAATGAGTATGACCTGAGTCACCTGATCCGGAATGGAGACGACAGCCCCTGGATCGCCATAGACACAGATGTGGGCAAATCACGCAGCTTTTACATCAACGTCTGCAAACCCCTCCCCCCTGTGAACGACTGTCCAGGTCAGCGTGCCATTGTGTCACATTTCAATTCAAACTTTATTGTCGTATGTACAGGAAAGAGTAAGTCACAGAGTACAATGAACCTCTTATTCTGAGTGTCCTCCCATCAACATCAAACATCAGTTCCATAAGAAAAGAACACAAGTGGAAAAAATATCCACCTGAGATAAAAATGATGAAATAGAATCAAAATTCCTTGACTCCTGACCGACGTGACTTGAATAAAGTGGAATAAAGCGTATAAAGTGTATCAGTATGATATTTTATTTGTGATTTTGCATGTTCTTGCCATACTGTTAGATGTTTCAATATCAGAAGCTTATTCTGAATCCCGGCCCAATTAGGAATCATAGTAGGAACAATGCGGACACTTTACATACAGGATCTCAAATCATAAAGTCAGCTTGCAAATCAAAGGAAAAGTGCCCAAATATAAAATTTTTCCTTAATGTAGACTGTAGTTAAACATTTATCTTTTCATTTAACTTTTTCTTCTCTCCAGTGGGTCCTTTGGGTGCTTGCGGGATGATTGAGGGAAAGAGTTACAACCTGGGATACGTCCAGTCCAGCCCGCAGGCGGCGGAGGACGGCTCCATCAGCATCGTCTACCAGAACGGAGACAAGTGTGATTCCTCGTCCCACTACTCCACACGCATCATCTTCCAGTGTGACGACAACCCAGTGAGTATTCGAGGTCCCGCTGTGACCACCCACCCCGAGCCTTTTCACAGTGTTATCAGCAGTGAATTGTTTCCACAGGAGTTTTCTACCACAATTAATAGCATAGCAGCTTCTGTGCTCCATCACAGGATGCATTCAGGCCCAGTATTAGGTGTAAGTCACACGTGTTTTGGTAGAACTCAGAGGCCAACACAGAAACAGTTCCGAGTGTAAAAATGGAATAAAATGGATGTAGACAATGCTTCCAGTTATGGTTACTTGTGTAAAGTGCTTGGAGCATGGATCAGACTTGGTGGAGAAACTAACACTTTATATTTGTATTCATCATTTTGGATGATTTGCGTACCTGTTGGAAAAGTAACACAACAAAGATATGGTGACTGAAACAGAGACATTTATGAGCTGGAATGAAAATAGAGCTTTTCTATGTGGATCGTGTACCGATGTTGCACCGATATAAAGGTACTCAGAAGGCTGCTCTGTTACATGTGCTGCAAACAGTGCTGACTGAGAGTCAGAGTGCGCTCTGCTGGACAAACAACATGATGACACCATTCCAGAATCACCCAAAGCAAAGTTTTCTGCATTATACGTTCTGTAAAAAAAAGCTTTTATATCGGTGCATTTAAGAAAATGTATACGCCGATACTGATATATCTGTGATATCCTTAGCACAGCACATGCAAGGATATTAATTTGGGTTTAAGCATCAATGCCAAGCTCAATTTGCAGTTGTTTTTAGTTTACTACAGTATTTGCATATACTTCTACTATTCCATGAGAAGCCAGAAACCTGAACTAACCAGTGGAATCACTTATAATGTGGTGTATGTGTGTGTGTGTGTGTGTGTCTGTTTTTAGGGCTCCCCCATGTTTGACCGTAAAGATGGCTGTGAATATGTCTTCATCTGGAGGACATCTGAGGCCTGCCCTATCAAGAAGTCTCAAGGTAAAAGTGTGTGTGTGTGTGTGTGTGTGTGTGTGTGTGTGTGACTGCCGCTTTTGGATTATATATATTATAAAATACTCAAATCATTAAGATCAGATCAGCTGTGGTGATGTTTAAAAAAGGATTAATCGCATCAGAGGAATAAATTATGCTTTTTTTTTTCTTGAGTTTCTTGCAACAATAACATATATTCCAATTCAAACTATATACAGAACCACATTTGTTTTTGAACTACCTTAACAAACACAAAAACAACCTGATTCACAACTTTACAGACACGACACCAAAATGACATAATTACATTCAAATGACTAGTTACGCTGTAGTCAGTTCCAGTATTGTCATTTAGGCCAGGACTGGTTGCCGTATCTTGAATAAAATCATTGCTCATTGTCTAAACTTTTTCCCCCAGGTGATGACTGTCGGGTCCGTGACCCGAGGAGTGGCTACGAGTTCGACCTGAGCTCTCTGAAGGGTAAAGATTACCCCGTCAGGAGTCAGAAGTACATCTACCACCTGTCGATCTGCGGGGGGCTCCAGAGAGGCATCTGCACCCACAAAGACACAGGCTCTGAAACTGTCGGCTCCTGCCAGGTGGAAGGAAGTAACCATAAGATTGGAGGTACAGAATTGCAAAAAAAAAAACAACCAAAACCAAAATATCCTGCTATATTATTATTGTATGTGTAAATTTTTGACATATAATCATGTATTTATACCCTTTGTTTTCACATATGTGCATTTTCTGCAGGATTGGCAAACCAGGTGCTGAATTATGTGGGAGACCAGCTCATCCTGAACTACACCAGCGGAGAGAGCTGTCACAGGATATACCAAAGATCCACAGAGATCTACTTCTCCTGCCACCCTGACAGGCGTCCTGTGAGTTTCACACATACACACAAAGACAGCTCATCCCACAGCTCGTGCTGGGGTTTTAATGAATGGTGACTGAAAACAATTAAATTAGCCCATGCAATAAATTCTTGTTTAAAGAGTTCACAGTTCACCACTTGTGATTGGATCTCTTTGCTCAATATGTAAATAAACACTATATAAGAGCCGTATCCTTTTCTTCATATAAAGCACAGAAACGCTTCCCAGCTCTAATTGTGTGTTGTGTTGATTCACTTGTTAAGGGAGTACCAGAGTTTATCAAGGAGACTCCAGACTGTACCTACCTGTTCAGGTGGCCCACCGCTCTGGCCTGCATCCCAGTCAAAACCACCAGCTGCTCCTACAAGTAACAACATCTACCACCTCCTATATGTCATCCTCCTCTTACTGCTTCTCTTCTTTTCTTCCTCTTCCTCAGTTTTTGTGTTTATTTCCTTCCTAAACTCTTTTCCTTCTAGTGTATTTGTAAAGCTTTTTGTTAGATAATTGGTCTTTTTGACACATTCAGTATTGTTAGCTCTGTTAGCTCTTTGTACGTGTTAACTGTGTATTTTTCCAATGCAGGACAAGGCTGTTTATCAGAGAGTGAAGGATCTGTGAATACAGTACTTGTGTTCAGAGTTTAGATCTTAAATAATAATCTAAACTTTAAAAATAACAAATTAATTGAGTTTTCTTCACAGAAATTAATAGGCCTACTGTGTGTTTTTAAATGTGAATGTTTTTGAGTGGGGAACCACTGGCATAAAGCTACACCACTAGCTAACTCTGTATTACCTAGATCAGGTCCAGGGACCCCTAGGAGTCCTTGAAAGTGTTCCAGGTGGTCTCCGAAAAATAGGGATTATTCAATTGTGAAGTCAAAAGTGAGAGAATGTATAAGAATGACTATTTCATTCATAAGTTTCACGGAATTCACTGTTAATCTGTCAAACTGCAGCATAGACAGTTATTTACACCATAACTAAAGCTTATCAGACGGGGATCCCGGAGACTACATCTTATCAAATATGGGTCTGTGGGGGTCCTCGACAAGATCAAGAACAACTGACTTAGATGAATCAAACTACTATGAGCAACACTATTGTTATAAACGACAACGGTACAAGTAATAGGACAAAAACATATGTTATTAGCAGGGACGCTGTTTCTTTTTAAAGCTGCCAATAACTGTTTTATTTTGAGTGAATAAATTCAACACTTGCGTATTTCTGAAAACCTTTGTTGTAATTGGAGGCCACAGATTTCCTCATTGTAACATTTATGCCTGTTTTTCCTTGAGTGTGACAGTCAACAATCTTACAAGGAAGTTTTCAAGGATCCATCAGACCAAACAAAGAAACACAGCAGGAACAAAGACGTTCTACAGTGTTCTGCCAAAATAAATGTTTCCTACATTTGATTAGAGGTTATTTACGCTCATCTCCTCGAGTGATTGCACACACTTGTAAAAAGTGTATCGTTGAGTACTAAAAAGGCAAGTAGTTGTAAATCAGTGGGGTTTTTTTAGACGTCTTCATCTGCACCAAGAATCAGTTATAGTACGATCGACTACTGGAAACACGGTTGCACTGAAATGAAATGGGGAAATCTGTACAGACCTTGAGAACATTTGACACTGATTTTCACCCTGTTCTGTCTTCAGCGATGGGCAGGGCCACTCGTACGACCTCTCTCCTCTGGCTATGGACTCTCGAAACTGGGAGGTGGAGCCCTCTACAGACGACACGGAGAAACAATTTTACATCAACGTCTGCAGGTCGCTGGTGCAGCAGGGAGGTCAGTGTGCACTTGTGTTCTTTATTCACGCAGTAATACTGTAGCATCTTACTGGTTTGTTCAGACTTCACATGACAAGAAATTTTTAAATTGAGTTGTGTTTAGTCATCCTTCTGATATTTCTCTAATTTCACTGCATTTCACTTCTGTTATGTTACAATGAAATGTAATTTTAATAGGAATTTACATTCTTGAAAATGAATCCAGAATTGACCCTCTGCTTTTCTTTTGACAGGTTCATGGAAGTGTCCCTCCAGTGCAGCATCCTGTGTGAAGGTTGGAGATAAGTATGTGAATCTGGGGCAGGTGGAGTCTGGTCCTACGTGGGACAAAAGTGTCCTGAAGCTGCAGTACACCAGCGGCCAGGCCTGTCCTGACGGAATCCGCAACAGGAGCAGTATCATCCGCTTTAAGTGTGATAAAGACAAAGTGGTGAGGGCTACGCTTTACAAATGATCGGCAGTGTTAGGAATTAGGAATGATGTAACACGAGACAGTTAAATAGTGAATACATTTGTGAAGATTCAAATTGGTGTGATTAAGAATTAATTGTGAAATCAATCATGGTATGGTAATAATATGAATTGTTTTCACAGTTTATACCCTACCTTAAAAATATAAGATGTCGGACAGTATTTTTCAGTCATAATTTCTTTAATCTCATATTTTTATAGAAATTGTGAGAAATTGTAATACACTGTGAGTTGAGTATATTGTTACATCCCTAGACAGTGATATATATATATATATATATGTATGTATGTATATATATATATATATATATATATATATATATATATATATATATATATATTTTTTTTTTTTTTTTTTTTTTTATACAGTACTAATCCATACAGTCGTGGATTTCAGTCTGTAAAACACGCAGTTGAACCTGCCTCACCCTCCAAAATTATCTGAATAACTTGACACTCAGTGTTTTAAGGTGTTGCGCTAAATGTTGCTAAGCTGTATCTGTGAAATTTTTATATACAGAATTATGATCAGAATAACCGGTAAAATATTTTTCAGTTACCTAGGACAGGTGTTTATTTTAATAAAAACATGAATGGTAATCTGTCTGTCTGTCTGTCTCTCTGTCTGTCTGTCCGTCCGTCCGTCCCCCATCCAGGACTCCCGGCCTACTCTGATCTCTGCCATTGAGGACTGTGTGTACACTTTCCTCTGGTTAACAGCTGCTGCCTGCCCTCTGAACAGCGTCCAACACGACGACTGCAGGGTTACCAACCCTGCTACAGGTGAGACATTCAAATAAATCAACGCTTTTATACACATTGTACATATGTCCTTATCATTTTACTGTTTGGTGACAATAGAAAACAGGAAAAATGTAGCAAAGAAGTCTAAAAATGGCACAACAGACAGATAACAACCCACTTAAATTCTGGCAAAACTGATTGTGTTGAATTTATACAAATGTACATGAATAGAGCAATATTTGTATTTCTATAAACCTTGAAAGTTTGTCAAATGAATCTCCTCTCACGCAGGTCATTTGTTTGATCTCAACACCCTGTCAAAGGAGGGAGGTTACACTGTGTACGATCATCAGGATTACAGGAAGATGTTCCGCATGAACATCTGTGGAAACATGACCAGCGCTGGATGCAGCCCTGAAACCGGTACGTACGTCCATCCACTGACTGGGTCATCTTTCAGGTGTCATTTAACAATTTGATTCACAGACTAAACTCCACTCCTGTTTGCATTAGTTTAATAGCATGACTTGAAACGTCAGTGTTGAAATTAGCTTATATAAGCTTTGATATTTGCTTGATCTATTTCTAAATTGATCAGTCTGGAACTGAAGTGTCCTTCGGTTTTGTGTTGTAAAATGTGTAGTGCTTCAATTAACAGAAACAGAAAATGTGCACAAAATTGACTCTGCTGTGTACTTTATATCCTCTTAATAAAATATCTTGACACAGGCAAGGCTCAAAGGTCATTTGCTTAAGTACCTTCGGTGTACGCACACAAAAATCACTTTGCAGGCTCTCAGGTCAGGTCAAAAATGTGATGATGCAATGGAATCAACCTTTAACTAGTCAGAGCTGCAAATTAACAAGATGTTACCATCAAAACTCCTCCCTGTAGTTCACTGATTGGTCCAGCTTCTAGCTCAAATGATTTCCAGGGGTGACTTAACAGACTAATACCCCATAGTGAAAAGGCTTCAGGCTGGCTTCAGCAGTAGTGTGCAGGGAAATGTAATTTATTTTGTATTGGTTGTTTGATGCGAATCCAGATGTTTAAAAATATGTAAATTATATGGTAACACTTTATGTTATTTACTATTTATTAGTCAGTATAAGGCACTTATTAAGGACCATATTCCACAACTAGTAGAGTTTTCCTTCAATACACTAATTGCCTACTAGTTGTAGAATATGGTCATGCAGAATAAGGTGCTAATACATACTTTTTAATGAGTAATAAAGAGCTAATATACTTCTAATATGAATGCAAAAAAGCATCAAGTAAATGGTGAGTAATGTAACTTTTAATATAAAGTGTCACTAAATGTATTTTATTCTTAAAAAGTAACCCAGTTAGACCAGTTTGTCTGAACTTGACGAGGATACTTGCACTGGGACAGATGTTTTTCCTCATTCAACCAGTACAAAGCTGATAAGATAAGCAGATTTTCTAACAATTACAGCACATAAGGACAGGGAACCGTTAAGAATTCATTCACTTCAGCGTGTTCCACATCTCAAGGCTGAGTCCTTACTGCGGCAGCACAGGCCCTTCGCTGCACATCGTCCTCTCTCTCCCCTCGCTTTTCCTCTCTCTCTCTGCTGTCACCATCCAAAATAAAGAAATAAAAATAAGTAAATAAATTCATTCACTGCTCTCCTGGTTACTGTTTAGTCGCGCTTAGACATTTTTTATGGTTTATGTTACACCGAGGACATGCTGGGAACTTATCGAGAAACCTGAAATTCAAGTACTTGTCAAATTATTGACTGCTCCTTCACCAGGGCTGTAGTAAATATTGCACAATAAACTGAAAGTCACAGAAAGAGCACATGCCTCTGCCAAGGTTGCACATTAGGTCTGAATGATGGGAATGTTTAGAAATGTTTAATCTGCATCAAAACACATATTGTGATACAATTATGCGATGCATTTGCCAGATATTTGTTTTTACTAAAGCGAGGTCATGAGAAGAACATTTTTGTATTTGGCCAAAAATTATTAATCATAAAAAATTTGATTCTCTGCTGAATCTGAATCTAATCACTTCCTCATTGGCTCATGGTTTAACCTTCGTCCATATGACATACACTAACTAACAAACATATAAACACAAAATACCCAAAACATAACCTCAATGACCTATATGTAATTGTCTTTTTAAAATTAAAATTATTCTGGACTAAAGGATTAAACTGAATGAGTTGTCACTGGATATAGAGTGTCTGGAAGACCATTTATTTTACAAACTAATACAATGAGCAGTTCGACAAAGACGAGAAGATTTTGTGAGGCTTTGTTCTGTAAGTTAAATTGTAAGCATGCTAAAATATCTATATGGGTTTTTGTGTTGTAGCTGTGTGTATTAAAGATGCCAGTACTGCGGTGAGCGGCGGTCAGGTGAGCAGGAAACTCTCGTACAAGGATCACATTCTGGAGCTGACGTACAAAGACGGAGGTCCCTGCCCAGCAAACCCCAGTCTCAAACAGAGCACCATCATCCAGTTCATCTGCAGGTACTCCCCCCCCTTTCCTGTGCCCTTGTCTGATTTTCACCTTTTTCTTTAGTACTGTTTTTAATTTTCTTTTTCATCTACAACTACTTTTGTACTTTTGTGTATAAAATGCACTACAGTATATGAATGAAGTCGTGCTGCCCTTTTTAAACATACTACAAGGAGTTTTTAACTGGTTATATACAAGACCAGAAGATTGGCTATTTCTGTATAGTTATTCTTAATGCCTATCACTGGGTCAGATTCTTCTTGAAATCAGTGAAACAAGTCGGTGGAAACACTATAGATCTTGTTCACAGGGGGCGCCAGAAACAGCACAAAATCTTTGTTGCTGCTTTATGATGAGTATTGTATGAAAACGATGGTGCTCAGTGAATTAATCAATTGATTGTCAGGGTATCTAACTAACTAAATAATCTTAAAATGTAATGTCTTAAATAATCTAGCTATTACACGAAACTGAACCAATGCGTAGTGTCCCATGAATGCCAACCGCTTAGCTGTGGTGAACCTACTTCACTTAATCATTAAAAAACTAGGAATAAAAGAATTAAATGCGTAAATATGAGTCACACCAGTAAATTTTATGACCATCGGTGAGCAACTGCTGTCTTGTATTGTCAAGAAAACTCCTGGAATGATTTCTTAAAAAAAAACCCACAGAACTAATTATTCAACAATCGTTTCAGTTTTCAGCCATTTGTATTTCTCATGTTAACATATATTTATATTTCTAGCTATGTTCTGAATATGTCCGTTGTGTTTGTTCAGGCCCGCTAACATGGGCTCAGCGCCTCCAGAGCCGGTTCTCATCGACTCAAATGCTGAGACTTGCACACACTACTTCTCTTTCCACACACCCCTGGTCTGTGAGCAGCCGGTAAGTATGTTCCTGTATTTTTCGGTGACTCTCAGTACACCCAGCCTGTTTCATAAAGTAAAAATATTTATCCAATTCAAATTTCATGAAACTTCTGTCGACAGAAGGTTGTCCCATCAAACACAGTAAAAAAAAATAACTGAAAAGGAATGTGCTTTCAGTAGTAAATAAATCAAACGTTAACCTTAACATCACTAGATAACAGCCTCACAAATGTTTCAGAAAACTGTCTGTATAGTCAGAAAAGATGAATGACACATGTATCTAAACACTGTCATACAGATGTTATTATCAGTGCCTTTGCTGTGGTGATATTGGCAACTTTTATATTAAGAAGTTATTTCCACACATTCAGGTGGAAGATATGGAGCATTCCTTCACAAATGAGCTCCAAATTGGCCATTTCACAGAGCAAATTGAATTTCAGTTGAGTGTAGTCTGCAAGTGGGACTACAATCAGCTTCTAGAGACTTCTCAAGGATAATCAAATAGACAGGAATGTGGCATTAAATTCTGTGGTGCAGTAGAAGCGTGGGATTCTCTCCAACTCACTTGTTCCAAAATAATTCTTAAAACTCGAGTGCATTTGTAGGACCAAAAGAAGAAAATATTGGAAGAAAACTTTCTGTAGTCATTGTATAGTTTAACAATGATTGGACTTTGGCTTTCTGAAGCCTGCAAACTATTTCTGTTTGGTGTTATGTGACTTTTTGACATTTCTTTTTTCCCAATTTAATAACTTTTTACAGGTGAAGTGTTCAGTCCAGAATGGCTCTGCTCTTATAGACCTGACTCCACTGATTCATGTCAGCGGGTACTACACAGCAACAGGTACAGATATCAGATCTCTTATGGATTTTGAATGCAGTGAAGGATCTCTAAATACATTTCAAAATGGAAGCAAATGTAGAATATTCATCATGTCGGTGTAGATTTTGTCATGTGCTTCCTTTTTGGGGCATAACTAGAGATGGGAATCAAGAACCAGTTCCAAATTGTTCCGACCCATCGGAATCACGTGCCTCAGAGCTTATCAGTTCCTTTTTTATCAATGCTGGCAAGTTTTTCTGACAGTTGCACAAACCAATGACGTCAAACTCATTTGCAAACTTGCAGCGAGAAGGACTCGTGGCGGAGAGGAGGAAATGTCCCAAAGCATGGCTTCATTTTAGGAAGAAAGATGACAACAGTTCTAGTTGTAATGTCTGTGAAATGATCATTTCAAGTAAGGCTGGATATAAAAGCAATATGCTGAAACATCTTTCTGCAGAACATGAACTTAAATTCTAGGAAATCCTATCCATGTTATACTAACATTAGCGCCACACAGACAGGTTTAGCAGATTTTTTCTTTGAGTAAGAAAACCTTAATGAAAACAAATGATCTATAAATATTAGGGATGGAAATCAAGAACTGGTTCCCAATTAAACAATGGTTAAAGCTTTTGCGTCACATCAATTCCCTTTTTTCTACTTTGTTTTAACACGGTATTCAGACTGAGAGATAATAAAACTAAGCCTAAGCACATTATTTTATTTTCAGACAGACAATTGATCAGGAATCAACATGAGAATCGATGAAGAATCGGACCAATAATCAGAATGAACAGTGGCGTTGATATTTTCATCCCTACGCACGAAATCCGTTCAGATTTATTGTTGTTATGTTTCTGTTTAAAACCTCCGAATTTTGTCCTTTTTAAGATGAGACAGTGGAAAGTGATGGATCTCCAGACTTCTACATCAACATCTGTCAGCCTCTAAACCCCATCCCCGGGGTCACCTGCCCCGCTGGAGCTGCCGTCTGTATGGATCCTGATCATGGACCTCCTGTGGTAAGACACTCACAAACTCAGCCAGATAAAGGACCATTTACTTTGTGCAGTAGGGAATGAGAGTGTTAATTATCCAATCAACAAATGACCCACATAGCTGCTGTTTAAAATTGGGGGCAAATCATGGTGGAAACACAACTGGGGTTAAAACGGTGTGGGTAAAAATCTATTCCTATTTTTTTATATAATGTAATCTTGTCCTGTTTCTCAATTCATCATTAGTTTTTGGTCCCGTCTCTTACAATAATTTTGCATCCATCCTTTTCTCCTTTTAAATATCTCTCTTTGTGCCTCTTGAAGGACATTGGGCGGACTACCAGCGGTCCTGAAATCAGTAGTGCAACAGGGGAAGTGTCCATCACTTACAACAGCTCCACCAAGTGCGCAGCTGATCCTGCACAGAACTACACCTCGACCATCATCTTCACCTGCCAGAGAGGCCTGGAGCTGGTCAGTCGCCACTCTCATGTCCTCTTATGATGAGAATACTAAGCCCGGTACTGTTGTTGTTTTATTTTTGAACAAAGCAGTGACCTTTTATATCTTATATATTTCCAGGGCTCTCCACAAATGCTGAGGCTGCAGGGATGTGTCTATTTGTTCGAGTGGGCGACCCCTATAGTCTGCTCAGACGCCACCCACACAAGCGGCTGCAAACTCACCGACTCTCAGCTCCAGTTCACTTTTGACCTCTCAGCCCTCTCCGGTGAAGTCCAGGTGAGCTCCATAAATGTGTTTCCCTCTCGTTTGTTTTCTATTTCACTATAGCTGTAATGTTGTCTATTAATTCCACCCATTCAGGTATTTTCCCATGGTGCGGACTGTAGGTCTGCCCTTCTGGGCTACCAGCTGAAAACTGTACTAAAGTGAGTTCTCTGTATGTTAGGTCCCAGCGGGCTCCAGCAGTTATCACATCAACGTCTGCAGCTCAGTGGCAGAGCCAGCCTGTAAGAATAGCGCAGTGTGCCGGGTGTCTGGTTCTGGTTCAGACAAGTCAGCTTCATCATTTGGCATCAGCCAGGCCATGACGATGGACTTCAAACATGATGAGCAGGCTGTACTGATGCAGTACGGTGGAGGAGATCCTTGTCCACCTGGTAAGTCTGCTATGCTTATCTCGCTTCCAGCTCTCTCCCTCAAAAGGCCTAGAATCAGTCTCTGTCTTCATCTTCATACTTCAATAACTGAAGTTAGCCGCATTTTTACAATTATATTTCCTTAAGAGATTAAGTCACAATATTTGTATTGTAAGTTACTGCGATTAGCATGAATTCTAAAAAAATACAGGCAGAGAGTGAACTAGTTGTATACTCTACACTACAACAACTACAACACAGTGGAAACATTGTGAAGCATGTTACAGCTCCTATTGGGGTGTGCAACATCTTGCTCTGGTGTAGGGCATTGTGCAGTGTTCTTGCTCTGGTGTAGGGCATTGTGCAGTGTTCTTGCTCTGGTGTAGGGCATTGTGCAGTGTTCTTGCTCTGGTGTAGGGCATTGTGCAGTGTTCTTGCTCTGGTGTAGGGCATTGTGCAGTGTTCTTGCTCTGGTGTAGGGCATTGTGCAGTGTTCTTGCTCTGGTGTTGGGCATTGTGCAGTGTTCTTGCTCTGGTGTCGGGCATTGTGCAGTGTTCTTGCTCTGGTGTAGGGCATTGTGCAGTGTTTTTGCTCTGGTGTAGGATATTGTGCAGTGTTCTTGCTCTGGTGTAGGGCATTGTGCAGTGTTCTTGGTGCGTGTGTTCTGGTGTTTATAGATCGGTGTGTGTTACTGCAAGTTAAATGTAGTTTGATTGTACATGTGTGTTGCTTCGTCACTGTGTTCTCTTGAAGACAAATTTCTCTTATAGGTGACAATAACGGCTAATCTAATCTAGTCTAGTCTATTGCCTTATGCCAGGGTTTCCGCAGGTCCTTTAAATCTTAAAAAGTCTAAAATCCGATAATCTGATTGATCAAAGTACAAAGGTAACCTTAACTTTACTTCAACTCAATTTAACTTCAGTCTCGCTTTTAAATGTGTTTTCCCCATTCATCTAAACTTAATCTAAGATTAACAAGTCAATCTTCTAAATGCATTTGAAGAACCAAATTAGCTGCATGAGAATTAACAGGAACATTTTAGCCTGATAAACAACATATTAGCCCGGACTAGTTTGACCACATTTGAATATCAGAGCCCTGGTTACCTCCTAATCTAAAACCTGAATCTAATCTGGTCTAATAAACCTTTATTTAAGAAGAAACTGGTGCAAATCTGATTCTGTTTTTGTAAAAGCTTCCCAAATATTTAATTCTACTGAGATTTATAGGTTACCATAAATAACATGTACTGTTGACGACGACGACGACGACAACAACGATAAAGACAGCGATAATGACGATGACTACAATAATGATAACAATAATTAGATACAATAAATCGTAATTATTCTTTGTGTGTTGTAGTGACAACTGAGGGTGAGGTGTGCGTGTTCCCCTTCATTCTCATGAAGGCATCGTATACAGAGTGCACCATAGAAGCGAGGACAGATGGCAGGAAGTGGTGTGCCACCACTGACAACTATGACACGGACAAGAAGTGGGGATTCTGCAGTGAAGGTGAACAGACACACAGGAGATGTGAGCTGTTTAGGATATCTGGTGATGTGTGAGGGGTTTACAGATCTGGTCTTAAACCTCCAGACCTCCACACAGACTCCTTGTGGAGTGTTTGATATTTAGGAGTTAAAATCCGGATGATTACGTGTCTACGGAAGTGAAGGAGCAAACTGCATCAAGTCTCAGAAACGGGCTGAATATTTGAGCTTGGATGTTTGGTTGGGTTTTGAATTAGACTGATCCTCATACCATCAATGCAGCCACTGGTTCATGTTTATTAAAGTATGAAAATCAGTTTTCAGTGCCAGTTGCATCATCCATCACAGTGAAAGGCTTGCTGTCTTTAATTTTTGTCATATTATTTAGATTACATTATTGTTGGGTGGTAATGTAGTTAATACTTTGTTGGTGTTGCGTTCAGGAACATGTGTATTGTGTAACAGTCTAAAAACATATCCACCGTGACAACACCGGAATCATAAAATACTAAAAATAAAGTAAATTTATGGAAATTATGATTTGTTACTTTCCTCGAAGGATTGTAGGTACTTAATTTCTTCTTGATAATTAAATGTTTTTGTTTGTGTTGGTGTCTTTTCTCTCTTCCAGCTTCTGGAAAGCGTCAGTCCTCCATTTTGTTCACCTGTGACCAGTCCGCAGGCCACGGCACTCCACAGCTGCTCTCGGAGACGGCAGGTTGTTCAGCCACGTTTCAGTGGCGGACCAACGCCGTTTGTCCCCCGAAGAAGATGGAGTGTAAGCTGGTCAGCCAGCACCAGACCTTCGACCTCCGAGCCTTGTCCTCTCTCACCGAGCCGTGGAAGTTTAGCCACAAAGGAGATTCGTAAGTCTGGCTGAAGTCTGTCACTGTTTACATGGTTAACTCCTCCTTATAATGTAATAAACCGTGGAAATTCATACATTTGTTCAGTGCTTTTGGTTGGTTTTCTTGTTTTAAGTTATATAACCAAAAAGTCAGGCACATCAAAATGTGTGTGTGCCAGCTATTGTGTCACTGAAACAGTTCAATTCAATTCAATTCAATTTTATTTGTATAGCGCCAATTCATAACAGAAGTTATCTCAGGACACTTTTCAAATAGAGCAGGTCTAGACCGAACTCTTTAACATTAATTACAGAGACCCAACAGTTCCCACCATGAGCAAGCACTTGGCGACAAGGGCAAGGAAAAACTGCCTGTTAAAAGGCAGAAACCTAGGACAGATCCTCCGGCTCTAGGTGGGTGGTCGTCTGTCTCGACCAGTTGGGGTGAGAGAGAGAGAGAGAGAGAGAGAGAGAGAGAGAGAGAGAGAGAGAGAGAGAGAGAGAGAGAGAGAGAGAGAGAGAGAGAGAGAGAGAGAGAGAGAGAGAGAGAGAGAGAGAGAGAGAGAGACAGACAGGTGCACAGCAACAACAGTATTGGCAATGGCAGTCAAGCAGGACCATGGCAGGAGGCTCCACCAGGATCCATGAGAACCTGCGAGACGAGAAAGCACAAGAACTCCGGGGAAGAAGTGGAGTTAGTAACATGCATTAATGGGACATGAATGAGTGCAGAAAGAGAGAGGAAGAGAGTAGCTCAGTGCACCATGGGAAATCCCCCGATAGTCTAGGCCTATAGCAGCATAACTAAGGGATGGTTCAGGACTCACCTGATCCAGCCCTAACTATAAGCTTTATCAAAGAGGAATGTCTTAAGCCTACTCTTGAATGTGGTGAGGGTGTCTGCCTCCCGAACCACAACTGGAAGCTGGTTCCACAGGAGAGGAGCTTGGTAACTGAAGGCTCTGGCTCCTGTTCTACTTTTTAGAGACTATAGGAACCACAAGTAGCCCAGCATTCAGAGAACGTAGTGTTCTAGTGGGGTAATAGGGTACTATGAGCTCTTTAAGATATGAAGGGGCCTGACCATGAAGAGCTTTATAGGTGAGGAGGAGTATTTTAAATTCAATTCTACATTTTATAGGGAGCCAATGCAGAGTAGCTAGTACAGGAGAGATGTGATCTCTTTTTCTAGTTCCTGTCAGTACTCGTGCTGCAGCGTTCTGAATTAATTGGAGCGTTTTAATGGACTTATTGGGGCAACCTGATAATAAAGAGTTGCAGTAATCCAGCCTTGAAGTAACAAATGCATGGATTAGTTTTTCTGCATCTGTCTGTGATAGGATGTGTCTAATTTTTCTAATATTACGTAAATGAAAGAAGGCAGTCCTAGAGGTCTGCTTTATGTGGGAGTTAAATGACAAATCCTGATCAAAGATAACTCCAAGATTCCTGACAGTGGTGCTAGAGGCCAAGTTAATGCCATCTAGAGTGACTATATCTTTAGACAATGAGTCTCTAAGGTTTTTGGGGCCAAGAACAAGAATTTCGTTTTTTTCTGAGTTTAACATCAGAAAATTGCAGGTCATCCAGGATTTTATGTCCTTAAGACATGTTTGTAATTTAGATAATTGATTAATTTCATTGGGTTTGATTGATAGATATAACTGCGTATCATCTGCATAACAGTGAAAGTTAATGGAGTGATTCCTAATAATGTTGCCTAAAGGGAGCATATATAAAGTAAATAGTATTGGTCCAAGTACAGAACCTTGTGGAACTCCATGACTAACTTTAGTATTTATGGAGGATTCATCGTTAACATGTACAAACTGAGAACGATCTGATAAGTATGACTTAAACCAGCTTAGGGCAGTTCCTTTAATGCCAATTTGATGCTCAAGTCTCTGTAAAAGAATATCATGGTCAATGGTGTCAAATGCAGCACTAAGATCTAATAATACAAGTACAGAGACAAGTCCATTGTCAGAAGCAGTCAGAAGGTCATTATTAACTTTAACCAGAGCTGTCTCTGTGCTATGATGAACTCTAAATCCTGACTGAAAATCCTCAAATAAACTATTGTTATGTAGAAAGTCACACAACTCTTTGGCGACTACTTTCTCCAGAATCTTAGAGAGGAACGGGAGGTTAGAAATCGGTCTATAGTTGGCTAAAACCCCTGGGTCAAGAGTAGACTTTTTAAGAAGGGGTTTAATTACAGCTACTTTAAAGGACTGTGGTACATATCCTGATAATAAAGAAAGATTAATCATATCCAGTAAAGAAGTGCCAATTAAGGGAACAACTTCTTTAAGCAGCCTAGTTGGGATCGGGTCTAACAGACAGGTTGATGGCTTCGATGAAGAAATGATTGAAGTTAACTGATGAAGATCGATAGCAGAAAAACAGTCTAAATATACATCTAAGTTTACATTGACAGAAGTCCCTGAACTTGGAGAGCCACTGATAACCGTTGATGGCAGTTGGTGATTAATTTTTTCTCTAATAGTAATAATTTTATTATAGAAGAAGCTCATGAAGTCATTGCTACTTAAGTTTATGGGGATATGTGGCTCGATAGAGCTGTGACTCTCTGTCAGCCTGGCTACAGTGCTGAAGAGGAACCTAGGGTTGTTCTTATTTTCTTCTATTAGTGCTGAGTAATAGGCTCCTCTGGCATTACGGAGGGCCTTTCTATAAATCTTAAGATCATCTTGCCAATTTGAGCGATATTCTGATAATTTGGAAGAGCGCCATTTCCTTTCAGATTTCCTAGCTATTTGTTTTAACTGGCGGGTTTGGTGGTTATACCAAGGTGCTAGTCTCCTATGTTTTAATAATTTCCTTTTTATAGGAGCGATAGAGTCTAATGTTGATCGTAGTGAGCCTGTAGCACTATCGACAAGATTATCAATTTCAGAGGGACTAAAGTTGTTATAGGACTCTGTTAAATTCAGACATGGCATTGAATTAAACACTGAAGGAATCTCCTCCTTAAATTTAGCTACAGCACTGTCAGATAGACATCTGCTGTAGGAAGTTTTGCCTAATGGCTTATAATCTAATAGTATGAATTCAAAAGTTACTAAATAATGGTCAGATAGGAAAGGATTATGTGGGAAGACTATTAAATGTTCAATATCAATGCCATATGATAAAACAAGGTCAAGAGTGTGATTAAAACAATGAGTTGGTTTATTTACACTCTGACAGAAGCCAATTGAGTCTATTAATGAGATAAATGCATTACTAAGGCTGTCATTGTCAACATCCACATGAATATTAAAATCACCTACAATAATTACTTTATCTGATTTAAGGACTAAGCTTGATAGAAACTCTGAAAATTCAGATATAAAGTCAGAGTACGGTCCAGGAGCGCGGTAGACTATAACAAATAGAACTGGCTGCAGTGTTTTCCAGTTTGGGTGAGAAAGACTAAGAACAAGGCTTTCAAATGAATTATAATTTAGTTTAGGTTTAGGGTCCATTAAAACGCTCGAATCATATATAGCTGCTACTCCACCTCCTCGGCCTGTGCCTCGAGGAATGTGAGTATTAATATGACTGGGGGGTGGATTCATTTAGGCTAACATACTCCTCGTGGGACAACCAGGTCTCAGTAAGACAAAGTAAATCAATATCATAATCTGATATTAATTCATTCACTAAAACAGCTTTAGAGGACAGAGACCTGATATTTAACAGCCCACATTTCATTCTCTTATTTTGTGCTACTGAGGAGTTGGTTTTAATTTTTATTAGATTTTTATGTTGAACTCCTCTTGTTTTTATTTTTTTAAATAGTTTAGGTGGTCGGGGGACAGACACAGTCTCTATGGGGTTTTGGGTGGGTGACTGTTCTAAAGAAAGAGCAGAGGAGTGTGTAAGACAGCAGCTCTGCTTCCTGATCCCAACTCTGGACTGTCAGGTTTTAGAGATAAACTTCGCCATATTCCTAGATAAGAGAGCCGCTCCATCCAAAGTGGGATGGATGCCGTCTCTCCTAATCAGACCAGGTTTTCCCCAAAAAGGCTTCAAGTTATCAATGAAGCCCACATCGTTTGCTGGACACCAAACCAATGACGACATGCGGCTATACATGTCATCACTGGTCACATTGGGGAGGGGTCCAGAGAAAACTATGGAGTCCGACATTGTCTTAGCATAGTTACACACCGACTCCACATTAATCTTAGTGACCTCCGATTGGTGTAAACGGGTGTCGTTACCGCCGACGTGGATAACAATCTTACTGTATTTACGTTTACCTTTAGTCAGCAGTTTTAAATATGATTCAATGTCGCCCGCTCTGGCCCCAGGGATACATTTAACTATGGAGCTGCCAATAACCAGAGTTGGTTCCTCAGCGGGTGAATCGCTGAGTGGGGACAATGTATTAGAAACGTGAAGCGGTTGGTGGTGAACTGTGGGCTTCGGTGTTTTAGTCTTCCTTCGCTCAGTCACCCAGCCTCCCTGCCTGCCCGGCTGCTCGGGAACTACCGGGGGAACTACCGGGACTCACTGAGCCTCGCCTCCAGCGCAGTAAATAAACTACATTTAATACATGTACCATTATCTTTAAAGGAGGCAGAGGAATAACTGAACATCTGACACACTGAGCAGGACAGAGGAGAGGGAGAGGGAGAAGCCATAGCTAACTGCTAATGAAACTAGAGTGTATGAAAAACTTTGAAAGTAGTGAAAAGTCCCTAAAAGAGGGAGAAACTCCAAGTGTTTAAGTAGAACTAGTCTACGTTTAAATGTTAAGCGGGTAAATAACCACTGTAACGAGTAAAACTAATTTATATTTAGCGTTCACTGACAGAGCTACAGCACCAAACAGTGTACACAGAGCAGGTCAGTACGCTTACCGTAGCAAGTGTGGGCTTAAAGATCACAGCAGGGTTCCCACGCATCCTGGAAAAGCTGGAAAACAGTTGACCAATTTTCCAGTCATTGAAAATAAAGTTAAATTATTTCAACATTGTCTTTATCTTATTTTCCTTTAGCTACGAGGCCATCTATCACAGCTCCCCAGAACCTTTTGTAGCTGTAGCACACAGTCAGTGCTCGATCATCACTGCAAATTTAATGGAAAAGTCTTAGAAAATGATCCCTAAAACCCAAGGTGGCAGTAAAAAAAATACACAAAAAGTGAGTTAGAAATGTAGCAAAGAACCAAACCTTTAGTTGCTGAACAGATTGGACTAACTGATCTTTGCACCTAAATCTGAAATACAGAATGAAATGAAATAAATACAGTGACGATTCTGACATTAATAACTTTCCCTGCTTCACAATAGAAAAAGAAGAAATACTGCTTTGCATATATCATATAGGCACAAGAATTGTGAATATTTCTGCAAGGCCACTTAGAGCACTTGAATCTTCATTTCCAGAGTCCTGAGTTTATTCAAATATGACACTCTTTCATTTTTATTTATTTTCTTTATTCCCTCAGGTATTTCATCAACCTGTGTCAGGGTATCAACGGTGGATTACCAGGTTGTCCAGAAGGAGCAACCGTGTGCCGACACCTAGCAACGGGACAGACCCAGACCCTGGGCCGAGTTTATACCCAGAAAATGAGCTACACCGGTGGGTAACCAAGTCGTATACATTTCAATTTACTTTATGTTGGACTTTTTGAGGCGTTTGGAACCTGAATGGACTTCAGGTGATATATAAGATAATGTTGTAGCACTTCTGTGAGCTCTTGTGTTCTATTACTGGAGTCTCTCACAGCTGTGTTTTGCCTTTCGTGCATTAGAAAAGTTTGTGCTCACAGTCTCAAACTACTTCTGCAGATGGAAAGATCTCTGTCAGTTACTCAGCGGGAGACAATGTCTGTGCTAACGGCGTGAAGGCCAAGACTGTGATCCAGCTGAGCTGTGGCACCACCGTTGGACACCCGGCACTCATCAGGTAATGTTATCTTAATTACTAAATGATTCTGCAATAGACAATAAACCACATTCTACAGTACCACTCATATACTCTTCAGTCTTAACTGCCAGTTAATGTTTGTCCTTAAAGTTAAACTTTATCTGTTTAAAGCGTCATTTGAAGCGCACTGCAAAACATTTCTCAAAAGACTTAATGTTATTCACAGTTATGGATCAGTCAGACTGTCTGCAGTCTGAAGTGCTTTATATAGTTATTTTTGTTCAGCTCTATCTTTTGCTAACGTTTGGATTTATCTAAATCTTTACTTTTAGATTGATGCAAAGGCAGTTTATGCAAAATATGATGTTTTTCAAAGGTTAACAACTTTACCAAACACAGTAAATCTTGCATTAATTTGTCCCTTAATGTTTAATTACTTTTTTCCATAAACTGCCAGTTTCGCTGCATTTATTTATTTGTTTTCTGTTTTTGGTTTTAAGCTCCTAGAAGTTTTAAATGTGGCTTTCTGAAATATTCAGTCCGTAACCTTTCTAAGAGTTTCTCATGTCTCTGGGCGTCTGTGTGAGCAGTGTTGATGAGGCATCCTGTGAGTTTGTGATTGGCTGGGAGACTCGGTCGGCATGTGCGGTGAAACAGCGTGAGGTTGAGATGGTGAATGGGACGATACAGGTTCCTGACACTGGAGCCAGCCTCAGTCTGGGAGTACTCTACTTCAGGTAACACACACACACACACACACACACACACACACACTCTGCTCCCAGTTCACCCTTTCTTTCATGTTCATAACAACCTTATTTATCCAACATTGTGAGATATTTAACTATTTTCGGCCTGCGTTAACATTGTTTTTACCCTCCTCCTCCTCCTCTTAGCCCCCATCAGGCATCCGGAGACATCCGTCCGAACGGCGACCGCTACATCTACCACATTCAGTTGTCAGGACTTACCAACAACTCCCTGACCAGCTGCGTTGGCGCCAACATCTGCCAGGTTAAACTCAACGGGCCCTACAGGCGCAAGATTGGCTCCTCCAGCAAGGCCAAGTACTACATTAAAGGTAATTTATTGTTTAATTTAATGTCACGTCTTTACAAGCTGTTGTCTTAAAAATGATGTTTTAAAACAGTCGTCATGTCTCAAATCTGTTGATTCTGGCTAATACATGAACATCCACTCATCTATTTAACATTAACGACAAGTAAACAACCTTTCTGACTTTCCATCAGGAGGAAACCTGGATGTGATGGTGACCTCTGACTCAACGTGCGGGCGGGAGAAAACCAAAACGGTGTCATCCACCATCATGTTCCACTGTAACCCCTCAGCAGGCGTCGGCATCCCCGAGTTTATGCTGGAGACGGATGAATGCCAGTATCTGTTTGTGTGGCACACCGACGCTGTGTGTGGTCTCACGTGAGTAAACCCTTTCACACTACTGGCCGTAAACCATCTGATAATCAGTTTTTTACTCCACACAATGAAAGCTAATTGAAGAAATGGCAAACACCTGTAAGTGTTCCTTCTAAATTTTCTTGCAGAACTGTTGACGCAAAGTCATACAATGACGACGCCGAGACTCCAGCTCTCTCTAGGCGGAGCCAGGCGCTCGGGGTGATGCTGTGCCTCTTGTTAGTGGGCCTCACTGTCTGTCTGCTGGGACTTTTGCTCCACAAGAGGGAGAGGAGGTGAGACGGCGAGCGTCCAACAAATGCAGAAAAGCTTAAAGATGTTAGAAATGTATGTAAGAACTTATTAAATTCTTGTGTTTTCTCATCTCCAAACAGAGAGCTGGTGATCCAGAAGGTTGCTGGCTGCTGCAGGAGAGGAAACCAAGTCTCCTATAAATACTCCAAGGTAGGTTGATCTCACTAATGAATTAGTTCTGAATTTGTTAATACACTCACATTCCAGCGTGCTCCAGGTAAACTAATCTGTTAACTGGACTTTAACTTGTGTGTTTTCACATTGTGGCAGTTGTGCTTTTACTTCAGTGAAGGATCTGAATACTTGTTGTCCTCAGGTCAACATGGATGAAGAAGGAGGTGAAGAGGAGATGGAGTGGCTGATGGAAGAACTCGAAGCACCTCCCACATCCTCTTCCTCGTCCTCCCACCGCGGCAGGAGTAACCACGGCAACGGTCACATCACGACCAAGCCGGTGAACACAGACGGCCTGCGCTCCTTCTCGCTGGACGACCCGGACGACGACAGCGAGGACGAGGTGCTGAGCGTCCCGGGGGTGCGAGTGGTCAAGTCCTCTGGAGCCTCCAGGCAGTCGGCGGCCAACCGCAGCGCCTTCCTTCAGGTGAGTGTCGCCCCTCCGGCGTCCGTTACCGTCAGTCCAAGCCTTGGTGCTCTGATCCTCACAGAAGTCCTTCATTGCAGGAGGAGAGCGACGAGGACCTGGTCGGCCTCCTGGAAGAGTCAGACAGGAAGAGGAAGAGCGGCAAGCCTCGCTCCTCGGGCCTTAACCGCGGCAACAACACGGCAGCCAACAGGAAACGGGACGAGGATGACAGTGACGAGGACCTCCTCAGGGTGTGATGTCACTTCCTCCTTCACGCTCCCTTCCTCCCTCCAATCTGAACTCTTCTCTCTCAGTGAATGTCTCCATAATAGCAACAACAACGATGAGATACCAACAACATATTGAAAGCAGAAACCGTTCCTCTCTTTTGGGATTTTCTTTTGCGTTGGACTGCACCTTTACTCCTCAGAATCTATCCAGTCCACTGTCTACAGACTGTCGATGGTAGCAAATGGTTTCTTATTTATTGATGGCTGATTATTAAAAGTGTTCTGCAGGCCACTTATGACCTGCATCCTATTTTCTCATATTTTTGCCATAATTGTGAAATTAAATAATTTACTTCACTTCTACTTCGCCACATTTATCTAAAATACATGAAACAGGCCAGTTGAAAGTCTTAAAAATCAACTCCAGAGAAGCAAAAAGCATCTTTCTCTACGTGTATGTTGACTGCAATGAGGCATATGAGTGAAAATTACATAACTGAATGTCTTTATTTTCTGTTGGAGTTTGGAAATGAAGCTGTGCCATTGCTTGAGCACTTTATTGTAGCATTGATTTACTGAAAGTAAAACTGTGTCATTGCAGACTGAGACGATGAAAAGAAAGACTCTGGCTACCTTTGGAGTTGATTTTTGTCTTCGTCCATTGGTCCATTAGGACTGTATTTCATAACTGTGGTGGGATGTTGCTCAATAGCGAAAGAAAGTAAAGGCGAATCGGACCAGTTCCCCTGATGTAGGCAGTGAAGGTGTCTGCTTGTGTTAAGGGACGCGAATCGATAAGATTTTATTGATAAACGCCGATGCCGTTGTCAGTTCTGCCCAACTGGAACGGGTTCTGGATTCCCGTCCATGCTTGTGTTGTTTCTAAAGGGAATGAAGACACCCATTTGTCTTTTCTTGTTGTTTACAGTTGCTATAAGAGCAGTTCCTTTCTCTTTCTTTCCCCTCGAAAAAGAGAGCGCAATGCCTTCCTGAAGATGAATTTACTTCGCATTTTCATCGATGAATCGTGTCAGGCGACAGATAGATTTTTGTCTTGTTTTGATCAGAGACATTGTACATAGATGATAATGTTCTATAATATGGACGTTTTGTTTGTTTGTTTGTTTGTTTGTTGGTTGTCTTCACCGGTTAATTGCTCACACGTTTTTTGTTTTTATGATTATTTAAGTGGTTGTCTGAGCTGATTATCTGTACGAATCTCTGTTCTGTGCGAAAAATAAGAGGTGGCCTTAAGTGTGAATGGACGGTGGACGAGGACGGAGGTTGAAAGTGAGATGTTTAGTTTAGGTCGTGTTGGTTTTGAAGTCCCCCTCTCGCCAAAGCCATATTTCTACAGACACCGCTGGCACTAATGTATGGAAGTTGGACTTTCCGCTTGCACGCTCTCGTACATTAAAGGCTCAGTTTTGGGATTCAGGTCTGTGATTGTGGATGTTGCTGCATCAATAGTGAGATTTTAACTCGGTAAAAAAAAGCCAAGTTTTTGTAGTGCCGAAATCAGCCCTTTTTAGCCAAATGCATGTAAGACAAAAGAAAGAAGTGAAGCTTAAATGTATCAAGAATGCAGGCAGTTGACTTACATTTGACATATTTTCTGCTTGTTAATGAAACTAGTGTTTTCACACAGGGTGTCAGTAATAGTGTTCACACTTTTCTAAAAGCAAAATCAACGCGACTGCAGTGTTGCCACATAAGAGTGATATGAGTAAGCCCACACAGTATAAACACAGAGTATTTTGGATGCCGTCCCACTTGCAGGTTCTTGTCTTCGGTCCCAGTCGAAGAAGTTCTTGTGAAGCTTGTATCTTTTTGGTTTTACACGTTTAGAACACAGACTTGGGGAACTCACAAATATCTGAACTTCTACACCATTGTAGGTTTTTGTAACGTCTCTTGCTTCAGAGGTTCTGGCATTGAGTCAAATTCAGGGTTCGCACGCGTCCCCGCAAAACCTGGGAATTTAGAGGCTAGTTTTTCAGTCATGGAAACACCGGGAAGTTGATTAAAATGACCAAATATTGCGGATATCTTTTACTTCCTGTAACTTTAATTAAACATGGTGGACTTGCGCTCTTTGCTGTAATTTATCTTTTTTTGGTGTGCATACCAGTTAAGAACATATTACATGTTTTTTATAATGGATTAATCTGTTGATTATTTTTTAATTAATCATTTCTAACCATAGAATATCACAAGTTCAGGGTTTCTTCAAACGTCTTTTGTCTGAACATCAGTCCAAAATCCAAAGATATAGAGAAAGTTAATCATTTAAGTGAGTTAAGTTAAAGAGTTTCTTTTTTGTCTGGTCAAAATAATGTTTTTTTGATTAATCAAAGAAGTGATCAATAGATTAATCCATCTCCTTATATCAGTAAATACTTGTATTTTAACTGGACATTTGTGAGTTATCTTACTGTAGGTGTTTTATTCTCACCTGGCCAAACAAACAGAAAGAAGAAACTGTTCCACAGATTGATTAAAGCACTCCAAATTTTACTCTCGGTGAATATTCTGCCTTGGGCGCGCACTTGTAGATGAATTGACGGATTTTGTATTGATTTGCAATGACAAATGTAGTGCAATTACACAGACTATGAGTATTTATTACATTTAGTACATTATCAATCAGGGAAATGACGGTAGAATCACTTTTGGGTTTTCTCAGTATTCAATCCACAGAAACTAGTTATTAACTAAACATATTATGTTGTTGCTAAAATATCCCATCAATCAATCAATCAATCAATAACGAGGGTACACCATTCAGGGTATTTCTAAAGCTTTGTACACAAAATTTGTTAAACAAGTTTTTTGTAAGATGCCACTTCAGAAATTCAAAAATAAACAGACAAAAAATAACAAAAAGGATTAAAAAAAAAAAAAAAAAATCTAAAGTTGGCATTTGCATTGGAAACATCAGTATTTTATATGGATGAGTTTGAGATGTGCCCTAATAATGAACAAATAGAAAACATCATCATGTTCCTGTCCCTTTGCTGTGTTATCTCTGAAAACTGAAATGTAACTTTTCAAACTCCAGACAGCTCAAAACAGATTGAAGGCTTGTGAGCTCACTTATCAATGTAAGATAAGATGTTCCTTTATTGATCCCCCGTAGGAGAAATTCAACAATCTGTTAGTTTGTTGAAGGTCTTTGTAGGATAACCATATCGTTAAGCTTCTGATCTGAAGTTTGAATGTGTTTTTACTCAAAGAAAAATGTACCTTTTGAGAGCATAAAGAACAAGGTTATAGTACAAAGTAAACGGGGGAAGTTTCCAAAGAACAATATAAGAATCCATATTTATTATTAAAATATCATTCTAAGCAAAAGTTATATAACCGAGCCTGTTGTTGTCAGACTTTTTTAATCAAAGTTAATTTTAAACATTCTCATTCTTTCAGCATCGGGGACCTCAGCTGTTGTTCTGAAAGCTTTTTACTTTAAATGTCTCACCCTGGTAGAAGGAGGTTTGAACTGGAATGAAAGCATCTACCTGTGTTTGGCACTTTGCACTCAACTCATCTCTCCTGGGGAGACGTAGTAGCACTCCACATGTCAGAGAAGCAGATGGAACCGTTCAGTATGTGAAGTCCTTTTTACATTGTTGCATTAAGTCTGTTTCTGCTGTATTTAGCACCAAAGTTTGTGTGGCTCATCTGCATGGTACTGTGCTGAACCTTCTCGTTCCTATGACGATATGAATGGATATTCTTGTGCTTTTTTTTTGCCTGCACTCGAGCAGAGAACCGTTTTGGGGTTACGTGAAACTAACCCAACCCTGAGATCAAGAGTTGAATTCAGGACAATGAAGTGAAGTGACTAAAAAAAAAAAAAAAAGTACAAGAAACGTTCTGTGATGATTCGGTACTATGGGGGATCATTATTATGTTTTAGTTGGTGTAAGTTATGTTGTCTCATATGTTTTTCAGCTCTTTGCCTGTTTTCCTATTTAAAAAAAAACATTGATGTAAAAAATATTGCATTATTTGAATAAATAAGATCTGCTGTTTATCTCTGTTGTGGTTTAAACACGCTGTAATAAGAACGTAAATGGAAGACTTGACTTTGACTTAAAAGTATCACGTGAAAAAACGGACTCAAATCACTTGCGACTGGACTTGAGGGGGGCTTGTTTCTAATGACTTGACTTATCCTGAGAGATATGACCTGGACTTGATACTTGAATCTCTGACTTCTCTGAATTTGAGACTTAACTTGGACTTATTTTAGACTACTTGAAAACTGAATATATTTTTGGAGTGATTTGAGACCTTACTTGAACTTGCTTAGAAGGTCTTGAAACTTTCACTGGTCTCTAAGACATGACTTGGACTTTTTTGAAATGACTTGAAACTTGACATGGACCTGGACTTTCACCTGTTTCGAAAGGACCCCGGACTTGACTTGGACCTGTCTCCAAGAAGTTGAGACTTCAAGTCTACAAATCTCAAAGTACTAACGTTCGACTGATCTGTAGGACTTGAGATTTGACTTGGACTCATCTCTATGGACTTAAGGATTCTACCTATTCTGCTTCCCCACCTAGGAAATTAAGGGTAAGTGCCTCTGCCTGTCCACCAGCTTTCTGTGAACCTTTTTAATGATCCTTAAAAGTTGTAGAAATCCAAACCTGAGCTTTGTTGATCACATTTTGATCACAAACTTCTACTGTCTACGGGAAAAAGGGAAAACACTAATTTGATGATAAAAGTGATGATATTGCCTTTACTTTAAAAACAGGTGCAATGTCCATTCTCCTGATCTTTATGTCTAACAGACTCCCAAAACCTGCATTTAAATGTTAACTTATTGACATCACTGACTGTGTGGACATGTGCTTGAGATGCAGAAACAGTTGGGGCGTTTATGTTAATAAACCCTGGGGCAGGCCATGGAGGCTTTCTGCCAGGTTCGAGTGATGAAATTCTTCTGACGTCTAAAAAAGAGATAGCAAACGTGTTTTAATGCTTCGCTACACTGCACGTCCAGCAACTACGTCTGTCTGTGGACCTTTGCTCCTGCTTCACCTGTTAAAAACCCAAAGGAAAGGCCTTTCAGCAGTCACTGTAGAGAGAGGCTCAGCATTCACACTGTTGAGCCTGTAGACTCTCAGACACTGATTGAAATCAGTTTTTAGTTTTAGAGAATCAACACCTCTGCAACCATGACCACTTTTGATGACATCTTGGAAGAAGCTGGGAAGTTCGGCCACTTTCAGAAGCGAATCTTCGCCCTGCTGTGTATGGTGTCCATGCCCTGGGCCGGTGTGTACGTCGGCATTGTCTTCCAGGGTTTTACCCCGGATCACTGGTGTCGGGACTCTGCGGTTGTGGAGAGGAGGCAGGCGTGTGGCTGGAGCCTGGCAGACAGTCGCAGGCTGACGGTGCCGATGGTCAACAACTCTGGAGTTCTGCAGCAGAGCAGCTGTGAGCAGTACGAGGTGGACTGGAACACCACAGCACTCACCTGTGACTCACAGGAGCTGGACCTCAGCAAAACTCCCACCACTGCCTGCAAAGACGGCTGGGAGTATGACTACGCGGGGAGACAATCCTTTGTTACTGAGGTAAGTAGGGGAAAGAATAAGATATATATATATATATATATATATATATATATAAAAATATAATGCAATCTAAACAATTTTTGGGGCTAATGAAACCTATGAACTCAGTACAATGCAATAGCATGCCGGTTAAGAGAACATAAAGAGGTCGTTATTAATGTTATATCCAACTGACAATCCAGATATATGTACATAGAAGTGTATTGTATATATGTATATTAACAGATCTACAGCAGTAATTCACCACTCACAGCCACTATTTGTTGCCTTTTAGGCCCCATTTACAAAACAAAATAAAGGTAATCCCAGTGAAAGATTCCTTTCTCTGCTACTGTCCCGTCAGTAAAGCGAAATGCCAAAAATAAAGCTCAGTATCTTGTTTGTTTAATCCAGAAATGTCGAAACAACAATTCATGGTTTTCGGGAGGCGTTAAATGTTCTGAAAAACGGCAATCGGGAGCCAGGCTAGCTGTTTAGGTCTAGTGTGTACGATTTAGGTGTTGTTCCCGATTTCAACTTCCTCGTTTCGCCCTCCCCTTCCAAGCACGAAGGAGAGACTACAGTGGCAGCGAAATGTGCAGGAAAACGCAAATTGTTTGTCCGTTCTGGGCTATTGTCGAAACATGGCGCCCTCTATGGAAGGCGACCCGCGGCATCTGTAGATATCGATTCTTATTTTGAGGTGATTAGACATTAAGATGTACATTAGGGTAATGAATATTACCCTCGACCTTTAACGTACGGACATAAAGACACAAGTGAATTTACTAAAGTGTTATTAAAAATATTCCTTTAAGCACGTTCATCTCATTGATGCTGGGTCGGAAAGGTGTGGATGGAATATTGGTGTTAATTGCCGTCTTCATTTCAAATCCTTTACATAATTTCCTTCCACCGTCAAAGACGCCTCATTACTGAGCGAGGTCTACTATGAAGCTTGATAAGATAAAAAAGAGTTACCCTAATTTGGTTTCAGGTTAAATTAAGCTTTAAATATATTTAGAATACACACAGGAAGCAGGAGGGGCTGATTTTCATTACTAATTATTCACTGATGATGAACCCAGTTGGGTGTCCCATTAAGGTGAACACAAAGTCCTCATAAAGAGACAGAAAATGTCATAAACACAATTTCTATCTCACAACCATCCCGCTTTAAAAAAAGTTTTTAAATTGTTTCTTTTTCATTGAGTTTCAGGCAAAATATAAATCTATAAACGAATTTTAAGATTGATTTGTTTGTGTGTTGTCCCAGTTTGACCTGGTGTGTTCAGATGCATGGTTGGTGGACATGTACCAGGCTACTCTCAATGTGGGCTTCCTGGTTGGGAGTATCGCCATCGGCTACCTGGCAGACAGGTAGGTCTGTCATTGATTCGTCTGGTTTTATTGTTGCTGTGATGAGAGTACAGATTCAGAAACATAAGAAATGTACAGATATATAAGAAATGTGGTCTCACTTTAGAGAAACACTGACAGAATATGTGAATATGTTACCTGAGTTACACCAAATTATAATTGCTGCTACAAAACCTACAGACTTCTGATAAATTAAAGGAAAAAGCTCAATAAATGAGTGGAGAAACACAACGAATGCAGATGCTTCCACACAGGTCCACTGCATTGTACAATTAAGCCACTAGCATCCAATCAGGCATGTATAAAACGCTGAGCAGGCCCAGTTCAATCTGATTTTATAGTAGGGTTGCAGTGCATAAACCCCTCATTACAAAGATGAATGTGATACTTCAGTGGTGCAGAACAGTTTATTGTTATAAGTTTGTATGTTGTAATAACTTGAAAATATCTTAAGATATGACTATACACTTTTATTTTTTGACCAGTATTGAAGTATTGCATATGAACGTTGCTGTCTTTGCCCTGTTTGTGTGTCCGCCTTCAGGTTTGGCAGGAAAATTAGCTTCCTGATGTCCAACCTGTTGAACGGGATTGCAGGAATCCTGGTGGCCGTGGCTCCAAACTACACGTCTCTGCTGGTTTTAAGAACTTTCTACGGGTTTGGAGTGAAAGGAGGCTGGGTGGCCGGATACGTGCTGAGTAAGAACAACATTTAACCCTCCACATTTACGGTTGTGAGTCAAAAGAGTTAAAGAAGCGCTGTGAGACCTTGTTCTCTCTCAGTCACAGAGATTGTGGGGGTGGAGTACAGACGCACAGTGGGAGTCATTTATCAGATGTTCTTCAGTGTCGGCATCCTCATCCTCCCTCTGCTCGCCTACTTCATCACCGACTGGCGCTGGCTGCAGGTCGTCATCACCGCCCCTTACATCCTCTTCCTGTCCTACTACTGGTGAGGAACACTTAAAACACAAAAAGACATCAGTGGAAAGTACATTAAAGAACATTAACTCAAGTACTGTGCCTTTTGAGGTACTTAATTTATTTAGGATTTTAATTTCATGCTACGTTATACTGACGAAATATTTCACTTTTTACTCTACAAATTAAGATTTTACAAACAAAACATAATCAGATTACAGAATCCTCAAAGCACACACACATACATATATGAATATAACACTGTATACATACAGAACAGAAACGGTAGCGTCACTCTTAAACATAGTATTATATACAGTATATAACTTTTTTTTATTTTTTTTTATTTGTTGAATGGAAAACATTCAGATTAATCCACCCATTCAGCATTCATAAGCAGCTCATAGACACCTATAATATATAAATATATACATATATATATTATAAAATATAAAATAAATGCTTTAGAACACAGCTTTATGTATCTATACTGTGTTTATTAATGAGTCTCTCAACATTCAAAACTTCCCTGAAGAAATATCTGTCTGTGTTGTATAAAAGTTAATGAATGATTGATGACACAATTTGTTATATAGTGTATATTTAATGACTACGACAATGTTTTATATCTGTTATAAATGTGTTTGAACTCATTAACACATGTTGAGCTTCAAACTGCAGTTTAGTTTGACTTCTTAACTCTAATGTCCATTTAATAGATTTCATCAGGAGCTTTCAGCCACATGTTGTGGTCCTCCTCAGCAGATGGAATATATATATGAATAGAACCATCTTATATTATATTATCAGTCGTCATCTGTTTATAGGTTTTTTAAACTTTATCAGCTACATCGTGGCAAGTTATAAACCAGTGTTTATATACTACTTGTAAATGTACAGTGGGGGGGTTAAAACAATGTGTTACCCTCCCCTGTATCTGACAAAGTATTATTATTATTATCATCTAGCAGTTTATCTACCTTTGTGGTTCAGTTCACTAGTGCAACTTTAACATTGCTTTTTATCAAATACTACAAAAGTATGATGATTTTCTCTTTAGAATACTTCTGGAATTTAATTCTTTACACCGACAGTAAATAGCAAGAAGAATTCCTATTACATTATTGATAAACTCACATTCTTTTAATCCTCCTTGATTAAAAATAAGCTGAAAAAGCTGTACTGTATGTTTACACACCTGCACAAGATTGAGTTTGTTGTTGCTGCTTCATGAAAGTTTTGGAATTGCAGGTTTATCCCAGAATCTCCAAGATGGCTTCTCTCTCAGAACAAAAATTCAAAAGCTGTGGAGATCACTGAGGCCATGGCCAAAGAGAACAAGATGACCCTCTCCAAGAACATCGAGGTAGGTGTTGGTTCAGGGGCGGACCGAGAGAAATATTCACCTGCTGAGTTAAACACAAACAATCACATATCAATATCTGCTTAAGATATTGAACTCAAAAATATTATTGTGGCACATTAGTGAAGCATTAAATAAAATAATCTAACCGTAGCATTAGAATAAATAGAATAAATTGGCCATAGCAGATCATTAAATTAGTTTCTGTTTCTTTTAACACGTTATTTTAAAATTAATCTAATTAATGTATTAAATTTGACAGCATTTGACACAAAACTGGGGTGGCCAGGTATTGTCCAGCTCACCAAGACCTTTATAGACCGACAGAAAATGTTACCCTGAAATAAAGTTTAGGATTAGACCCTTTGTTACAGCTGTCAAGTGCAATAACTGTATTTCATGCAGGCAACACCCTTCACCTGATTCTATTGCATTTTTGTATTTATTTATTCATTGCAGCCCCTGTTCCCCACTTTATTTGTGACTATTTTTTATTTTGATTTAGTTTTTTCATGCTTCATTTTGTCCATTATGTTTGCATCTGCGTTTGAACTTCAGCTGTTTCAGTTTCCCTGTATGTGATCAAGAAATTTAACCTCATGTGTTCTTGAAATGAAAAGTGTATTATTGTTTGCTTAAGCTTTTACATACCCTGTAAGATCACCAACTTACACAGCAGTGGTTGAAGCAGTTTTTTTCTAAAATCTTGATGCCCTTTCTCTCTGTGAAATGCAAAAGAAACGCCAGAATTGTGTGTACACCAGTTATATATAAGTACAATGGCAGAATCATAGCTTTAGAGATGCAAATTGTAACAGTTGATCTTTTGCTCCTGCAGACGCTGACAGATGATAATGCAGACACCAGCACTGCCTCCTTCATGGACCTGATCAGAACTCCAAAGATGAGAAAACACACTTTAATTCTCAGCTACAACTGGTGAGTTTTTTGTGGAAGTAATGTTTTATGGATTATTTTAGTTTTTTCAAAAGTGGGTTTTCGTAATGTATGATTAAAACTACAGCAGTGGAAAAATTAGAAGAATAATAATCAATGAATTAGACTCTTTGTATACTATGCTAGTCCCATCTTTGGAGCACATGTCAATGTTTTTATAGTTAACTAAAACTAAAACTATGTGAGAAAAATAAATTAACTGAAATAAAAATAAAACACTACATTTTTAAACCATAAAACTGAACTGAAAGGATCAAACCCACGCTGGAAACTAACTGAAACCAAACTAAGCAGAAAATGAACGTTGAATAAAAACTAAACAGAAATAAAAACAAATGAAAAAAACAAAACTATAATAACTCTGCTACATTCTCCCTCTGTCTCTTCCAGGTTCACCAGCGCTGTGGTCTACCAGGGTTTGATCATGAGGCTGGGGATTCTGGGAGGAAACGTCTACATCGACTTCCTCATCTCTGGCCTGGTGGAGTTCCCTGCCGCCTTCCTCATCCTCTTTACCATTGAACGCATCGGCCGACGCATTCCCTTCGCCTCCGCCAACATCGTAGCTGGAGCCGCCTGCTTCATCACAGCCCTCATCCCTGACAGTAAGTCTTAGGAGATCAGATACTAGGTGAACAACCATTTGTCACACTATGTTTTGTTGTCTCGGGGAACAGGTGGAGATGGGGAACGAGCCTGTCAGTTGTCATCAGATTCAAATTACTTTCTTTGTGGCTGCAGGTATGTTCTGGTTTAAGACGGTGGTGGCCTGCATCGGTCGGCTGGGTATCACCATGGCCTTTGAGATGGTGGTGTTTGTTAACACCGAGCTCTACCCGACCTTTGTCAGGTAAATTGTTCAAACTGTACACGCCCGTGGTTGTTTGTTTGGGATGCACTTTACACCCATCTCTTGCTTCTACCACGGTTGGACACAGTTACTGTATGTTGCTCTGGACTAAAATGCCAAATATGAATAAAGTTTTGAGAACCACAACCAGCTCACTGACAGCCACACGCACAATGACCGACAATACTCCCCCGCCAGCAACTCAAGCATGCTCAGATTCATGCACACTGACAAATATACTACTTCTTACATTTTAACATATAACGTATTTACTCTGTTTAGCTGTGGTGGCTACTGTATACATAATGTATAGAAACTAACTGGTTGCTCGTGTGTTTGCAGGAACCTGGGAGTGTCAGTTTGTTCCACTCTGTGTGATGTTGGAGGCATCGTAGCTCCCTTCCTGCTCTACAGACTGGCTGTCATCTGGCTGGAGCTGCCCCTGATCATCTTTGGTGGGTTTTTTTTTATTATTTTGGAGTGAAAACATTTGGTCTCCTTTTTCACACAAATTTCTAATAAAAAATCTAATATATTATTAAACTTATGTTGGATGTGGTTGTGCAGGGTCTCTGGCTTTCCTGGCTGGTGGTTTGGTGCTGCTGCTTCCTGAGACCAGGGGCGTGCCGCTGCCTGACACCATTGACGACATTGAGTTCCCAGACAGGTGAATATCCACTGCTGAACCCACAGACCAAGATAAGAAATAAAGAGCTTTATTAGACACATTTTGGCCCAAGCCATGGTGTTTACACGGCTTTGTCTCTTTGTATCTAGTATATGCACACGTCTATATAGATATTCTTGATGCAGTTTCTCACATATTATGTCGATGTCAATGATATAGATTAAATTGGAGCTGCAATAAGGATTTTTTTCATTATCAGTTTATCTGCAGATTGTTAATCCTTTGTCTACAACACATAATAAAACAGTGAAAAATGTGTGTTTATAATTGCCCACAGCCCATGGTACATCTTGGTGCTTGTTTTTAACAGTCCAAAACCCAAACAAATTCAGTTTATTATCATTTATGACAAAGAACCACAGCAAATCATCCCATTTGTGCAGCTGTAACCAACAAATGTTTCCCATTTTTCCTTTAAAAAATGACTCAAACAATACTTAATGTACATTATTTAATATTTTCTTTGTGTTTTCAGAGTGAAGGAAAAAGCTGCACTGAATAAACAGCAGCTGACCAACCTACTGCCCAGCGACGTATCGACTAACAAAGATCCAGCAATGGTTTAACCTCCTTCTGTGACCAAAGTATTTATTTATGTTGTTACAGTGTTGCTTGTGGATATATTAGATAGCTCCTTTTGATTTTTGTTTTTGACTGTGTAGCCAAGTATATAGTCTGTGGCCCTTATCACCCACAAAGAACTTCATGTGTAAATTAAACGGCTGTTATGTTTAAGCCTCTGTGATGTTGGAATGGAAATATGTGTGTTTTCATTAAAACAGAGTTATTATATTATTAGAATTATTATTGAATTACATTATTAAATTATTAAAGAGTTTTAAAACAACTTGGACTCAAACCGTTTACATGAAAAATCCTTAAGATTTCCGTACTGCTTTATGTGTCGACATACGTGGTTTCCATGGTAACAGCATGTGCCATCTGGAAAACACTACAGCAGACACACGTCATGCAGATTTGTTTACAGTGCAACCAAACAAACCCATGTAGTTTAAATAGCAACAGTGATCCTATTTCAGCTTCCTGAACACAGCACAAGTAGTAGTTGCAGATTACAACCACCTTGCTTCAGCCTCCCTATCCGAGCGCGAAGGATAAACTATGGTAGCCACAAACAGTATAAAAAATCTGAAGCAAGAGTTTGATTTGTCCGTTCTGAGCTACTGTAGAAACACGGCAGACTCCATGGAAGGTGACCCGCCACTTCAGTAGATATAAAAGACTTTAATTGTATAGAACAGCTGAGGAGTGACAGGAAATGGGAGGAGGGAGAAGGAGGGGTGATATGCAGCAAAGCGCCACATGTCAGTTTCAAACTCATTGCCGCTGCAGCAAGAACTCATCCTTGGTACATCGGGCACCAGCTCTACCAGGTGAGCTACCTGTGTGCCCTAAAGGGCTCATTCTAAGGTAACAAAGCCACAATGATCCTTGGTTTCATACATCAATGAATTTTCATCAAATCATTTCGGAAAGTAATGGGAAAGGGAAGATGAGAGAGATGGAGAGAGTATGCTAGAAAACAAAAGACAATGGCACTTAAAATCATAAACATCCTGAGGAGATAACTTCTGTTTACTGAGCGCTGGAGTGAATATCCACCATCCACTTGTCCTCTGCAGCAGCTTAAATTCACCACTTTAAATGTACTTAATGGTCCAGTGTGTAACATATACCTATTCACAGCCCATTCCGAATACAGATGCTGGCGATGTTCAGTTAGTGGTAAACTCCACCGCTAGATGCCACTATATCCCACACACTGCTCCTTTAATGCTCCCGACTGATTACAGCATCTAAGTTTTCGTTCGTAGAAAAATAAGGTTGCTGTTCACCACATTGTATTTTATAATACTGCCACTAGGAGACACAGGGGAGCTTTAAGAGTATAGTTCACTGAATGCATTGCCAATGCTGATAACCTTGCCATTAAGAAAAACAAAAGGTAACCATTTGTGTGCTGTGACCAAATGATTGAGCCTAAATGTGTGTTGTGTAACTCCTGAAGCACACTTCAAGCATAGTAACAGAATTTGTTTTGGCTTGTGCTCAGTTCAGTTCCATTCAATGATTGCATAAACCCTCTGCCATTCTCTGTTTAACTCCATTAAACAGTAACATGTTTAACCTCCACTGCAGATTTAACTGTTTTTAACTGGCTTTTCGGACTTTAGCTCCAAATTGAACCTGTTAAGTGAGGAGCAGTGTGAAGTCTGTCAGAATCTCTGAAGCAGACTACAGGCGTTTCACACTAATCTGCAGTAGTGCAGTAGCTCAACAGTACAAAAACTGACTTGTTTTGATATCTCAAACAACAAGAACTTGGATCAGAGTAGCGATGACGACCTTTGATGACCTCCTGGAGGAGGCTGGGACTTTTGGCCGATGGCAGAAGCGAATCTTCGCCCTGCTCTGCCTGTTGTCATTGCCTTTTACCGGCGTGTACGTCGGCATTGTCTTCCAGGGTTTCACCCCGGATCACTGGTGTCGGGACTCTGCGGTTGTGCAGAGGAGGCAGGCGTGTGGTTGGAGCCTGGCAGACAGTCGCAGGCTGACGGTGCCGAAGGTCAACAGCTCTGGAGTTCTGCAGCAGAACAGCTGTGAGCGGTACGAGGTGGACTGGAACACCACAGCACTCACCTGTAACTCACAGGAACTGAACTTGACTGGGGTTCCAGTTACCACATGTAAGGTGAGATCTCTGAGATTGATTGATCGATCTCAGGAGATGCTCTTTGGTTCTGCAGTAGAAAACTTTCAGGAGTTTTCTTGGGGAATGATGGGATAGCAAACATATTCAAATGTATTGTATCTTCAGCCATACTGGTGAGCACGACTGCAGCTTCCTGATTGAATTCAAGCAATTAGAAACAGTTAAAGGAATAGTGCAACATTCTGAGAGATGTATATAAGATATATAAGAATATATAGAGAAAATGCGAAAAGAATAAGGGTTATGTTGTGGTTAGGGTTGTGCTGAATTAGGGTATTCAGTGCCATTCTCTGCTCTTCTTTCAATAAAGAAATACTCTCCAGTTCTGAAGTAACTGATGCTAGCAGGATCTAAGCTAACCTGTTTAGGAGCCACCATTGTTTTTGAGTAAACAGCCACTTCTCACTCACACGTAGCTCCTGGTCTAAACCACTGTGGTTCGGACACAAGTGCAAAACTTAATAAGCCTGGAACGATGGATTTTCACGTGATGTTGTGATCTTACCAGCTGCCTCGCAGGGTTAATCTGACAGAGCCAGTTTAGCGGTTTCCCCCTGTTGGCAGTCTCTGTGCTATGCTAAGCTAACTGGCGTCAGACTGTAGCTTAATATTTACTGGGCTTCATAAAGCTTCTGATATAACCCTCAGAAAGAGAATAACTTTATTCCCCAAAATGTCAAACTATTCCTTTAAGGCAGAACATGTCAAGTACTTAAGTAACATTTGTGAGTATATAAATAAAGGCAGAGGTTAAAAGGTGGTTTTGAAGGTAAGAGCACTTCCTGGGATCATTTTGGATTCATATTTATTCTCTTTGGCAAAGAATCTACTATGTATGTGCTGGTTTTTCTTCTCATGTCTTTAAAAGTAATGTCAACTCTTGTGACCCTGATGTTAAGTGAAGATGTACTTGTTGCCATGTAGCACTTTCATGTGGTATAATTCAGTACTTTATTGGCCTTGTGAAAGGTACGAACCTCTTCGGCAGTGGTGTGCACAGATTCTTAGAGGTCATAAATCAATAGGGGGGCTCTTTGTTTAACAGAATTAAGGTACATTTTTTTACACGAGTGACACCTGCGTGGGAGAATTTCTATGTCTAATATGTACTCATGAGTAAGTTTTAGAGTTCTTTTACCATCTGTATTAAATGCAATGATTTGTTTTTGTCTGTAGGATGGCTGGGAGTATCAGTATGAAGGCAGGAAGTCCTTCGTCACAGAGGTGAGAGGAGAAATGTGATGCATTTGTGCTTCAAAATAAAGCTGATTTCAGTCATTTCTCAGTGCTCCGTGCTCAGTACTGTGAGCGTATGTAGACATGTAACATTATTCCTTTTGTTCCCAGTTTAACCTGGTGTGTTCAGATGCATGGCTGGTGGACATGTACCAGTCCACTCTCAATGTGGGCTTCCTCGTTGGCAGCTTTGCTTTTGGTTACCTTGCTGACAGGTGAGATCATTTTTGCAACCTCTTCCAAATTACACCTAGTATGGCACCTAATAACTGTGTTCTGCAGAAAGCTGAACCTACTTTAAGTAACTGATAGTCAGGTTTGTCAGAATGTTTGATTCCACATAGTTAGCATGCCTTAATTGTCAGATTGTCTTTAAAAACGCAAACAAAAGCACAAAAGTTTAAAATCTATTTGACATGTTAAATATCAGATTTACACTGAATATCATAGAAGTTGTTTTGAATCCAGTGGTACCAAGCATTTGATATAACTCGTAATATTTTTTGAGAAACATTTCTGTATCATACTATTATTGGTCACTAGCAGTTAATCATTTTATTCCATAGGAATAACAATAGCAGAACTGGAACAAGAAAAAGCAACAAATTATTATTTTTCTTTCTGAATCTGTATTGTAACCGTCCACAATATATGTAGCAACCCCTAGTGACTAACAACTAAACCAAGCCTCACACTTTCACCATTTTGAGAAACTGTAATGGATTTGTGTGGACATTAATGGGTTAATAATCTATTTTATTTCTGCAGGTTTGGCAGGAGGATCAGTTTCCTATTGTCCAACGTACTGAATTTAATCACAGGGATTGTGCTGGCTGTGGCTCCAAACTACATCTCCATCCTGGTTGTCAGGAGCCTGTTTGGCTTCGGAATCAAAGGAGGGTGGATGTCTGCATATGTGCTGCGTAAGGATCACTTTCCATCTTTTACCGAGATTGATTTTCTTCTGAGCCAATAACCACATCTACTGTAACTAACTAAATGACATAAACATTATGAACACACTGTCATACTTAGTACTTAGTGATTTGTTTTCTTTTTCTTTTCAGTGAAATATTCTAACAATATCAGTTTCCTGTGTTACTGTCAGTCACAGAGATCGTTGGAGTGGAGTACAGACGGATGGTGGGAATATTGTACCAGATGGTCTTTAGCATCGGCATCATCATCCTCCCTCTGCTCGCCTACTTCATCACTGACTGGCGTTGGCTGCAGGTCGTCATTACTGCACCCTACCTCTTCTTCCTGTCCTACTACTGGTGAGAAATGTTTGTTTTCTCTTTTGTATCTGGGTATGGAGGGGATCCCTGTTGTCTTTTATGTCTGTGTTTAAGTACTTTGCTCCAATCACGAAGGAAGCACACATTCTTTGTTTCTTTTGTTTGTTTTTTTTGGTTTCAAATCAGTCCCAATGTTTTTCCTAAAATACATCACAATGAACTAGACCCTTGCACTTTTGTTGTACATTATGAGACCACCATCTCTTGCTTTAGCTCTCAGTAATAATTGAGGATATTCTGTGCTTCTCTATCTCACATCCAGTCCTAAAACATTTGTATAGATTACTGCTCATTATTAAACATGTTCCCTGGTCACACTTGTGTCTCTGAAGCACAGAACAAAATGTCAAACTACTTTTTTTAAGGCACTAACAATAAAGCACTTTGTCCCCAGTTTCTCCTCTCTCTTCCTAGCTATTAAATAAAAGCATAAAATTCCCAAAAGTGCAAAGTTAGACTAACAAAGAGAGCAAGCTCAAATCATCTGTTACAAGCAGGTGTGTTGGTGTGTAACATTGTTTGTGTCACAGGTTCATCCCAGAGTCTCCACGGTGGCTCATCTCTCAGAAGAATTCCGCAAAAGCTTTGGAGATCACTGAAGCTATGGCGAAGGAGAACAAGAAGAAACTCTCCAAGAACTTTGACGTAAACTGATTCAGTAGTTTACTTGGTATCTCAATTTCGCTTTCTGATCTACTATATAATAATAATAATAATAATAATAATTTATATTAAAGGTCCAGAGTGTAACATTTAGGAGGATCTATTGGTAGAACTGGGATATAATTTTGCTAGGCATGTTTTCATGATTGTATGATTACCTGAACCTTACATTAGGATTAGCTGTTTTATATGCAGACGACACTGGCCTAAGTTTTTCCTTTGTGCTTGGAAGGGAAGGTTGAAGCGAGGGAGAACTACACCACTAGATGCCACTAAATCCTGCAAACTGGTCCTTTAAGATCCTTGCTTAATTTCACAGCTGTATCATTGTTTCAGACACTTGCTGAAGATGAGGCTGACTCCCCCTCTGCCTCTCTGCTGGACCTGGTCAGAACTCCAAATATGAGAAAACACACTTTAATCCTCATGTTTAACTGGTGAGACTCACCTAAAACCCACAGATTTGTTGGCCAAACAAGCCCCTAAATGTTGAATCTCTGCAGGTTCACCAGTGCTGTGGTCTATCAAGGCCTCATCATGCGGGTGGGAATAGCAGGAGGAAACATCTACATCGACTTCCTCATCTCTGGCCTGGTGGAGTTCCCTGCCGCCTTCCTCATCCTCTTCACAATTGAACGTGTTGGTCGGCGCCTCCCCTTCGCCACCGCCAACATCGTAGCTGGAGCCTCCTGCTTGATCACTGCCTTCATCCCTGACAGTGAGAAGAACTCCTTATTCTTTGACCATGTCCGTTAGGGATGTTTCAACTCCCTGGAATCAGTTTTTTTTTTAAATAAGTAAGTAAAAGAAGTAGTATTTTATTTACTTATTAAATATACAAAAGGTTTTTTAAATATGGTTTTAGAGTCTGACGTAAAATAATAAAAGTTAGAAAAAAAGTATTCTATAGATCATAAAGACCTCTATAAAAAAATACATTTGCTTTGGTTTGGTTTAATTATGTCAGAAATAATGCAATGCAATGGTTTCTGATTTTAATGAAAAGTACTGTTCTCAAACGGTGTAAAATATGATAAGTCACTTGAGTGGGTGCTGAGGACTACAAGTATGATTCTGAAAAAAATCTGTGGGTGTGGAGCTCAACAGACCGCTCCTCATCCCTGCTAAAGGCCAGCAACTCCAAACTACATAGCTGCTGCTAGGCTAACACACCTGAATCTCAAACAGAAATGTCACCAGGTGAAAAGTAGTATTTCGTATCCATATCTCAGGTGTACTCTGGTTGAAGACGTTGGTGGCCTGCATCGGTCGGTTGGGGATCACCATGGCCTTCGAGATGGTGGTGTTTGTTAACACCGAGCTCTACCCAACATTTGTCAGGTGAGGTCAGACTGACAAGCTCTACTCTCACATTCATCCCACAGTAGCTCTAAAATACTCAGTGTAATTCCAGGAACCTGGGAGTGTCAGTTTGTTCCTCCCTGTGTGACGTTGGAGGCATCGTGGCTCCCTTCCTGCTCTACAGACTGGCTGACATCTGGCTGGAGCTGCCCCTCATCATCTTTGGTGGGTATCTGACATGTTATGCATGACGGCTGGGATGATGTTGAAGAAAACGACAGACATCCCGTTATTCGGAAATCAAACATCCGTTGCTCCGATCACAGAAGTTATCTCAGGACACTTCAAAAAAGAGCAGGTTTAGACCGAACTCCTTATAACATTATTTACAGAGACCCAACAGTTCCCACAATGAGCAAGAACTTGGCGACCACCTTTCAGTTCAGTAGTGAAGTCTTTACCCTTAAGTAACCACCAGGAACTTACAGCATCTTAATAAATGGGGATGGGACTCTTACTTTATGCAGTGCTACATATTGGGATAAAACCACTGCATCTTTATTCACTAGTGAAGCACTGAATTTGTAATAGCACTGTCTTTTTAAAATAAATCTGTAACTGAGTCAGTTTTAAATTTGCTCGCTGTGTTTCACACAGGAGTGGTCGCGTTCATCGCTGGAGGTTTGGTGTTGCTGCTGCCTGAAACCAGAGGAGTTCCTCTCCCGGACACCATTGATGATATTGAGTTTCCTAACAGGTGAGATACATCCCCACTCTCCCAGAAAGTTTAATGAAATGTTTCACACAGTATTTATTCTTGTTAATTCTTGTTAGTGGTGGGTAATAAGTAGAAAATGATAGAAAACTGATGCCTGATTTTGGAGTAACATTACAAAGAAATTAAGTAATTGATTCACTTGAATTAAGGAGGTGTTAATAGAATATGTATGTTTTTGTTCCCAGGAAAAAGGAAGATGCAGTGGAGATATTACAAATGAAGAAACTTTTAAAATCAGACCTGACAAACAACAAGGAAACAACAACTGTGTGACTGCGTGTTTGTATCAATGCATTTGTATGTACTGTAGATTTCCTTCACTGTAATACAGTATATTGACCTCAACTAAAAACTTAGGTTTTTCTTAATACATTTTCTATAAAGCATGGCTTCCCAATTTCTTTTGTATTTAGTTTTATTTTTCAGCTCTTACAGAAAACACACCTTTACATCCCAAAAGCAGGAATATGATCTGCTTATAGTGCTTCCACCACAGGAAACAAAACACTTTGTTGACATCAGAAACAGGCTGCAAACACACACCCACACCCACACACACACACACACACACACACACACACACACACACACACACACACACATATGCTAAAATATCTTCAAAAAGTACAATGAATGGTGACTTTTCTGCAACTGGTCACATTTAACCCTACTGTATTTGTTAAAAGGTGGATAGTTTTTAATTGGCTTTGATTGTCGTGTCAATCCAGTCGATAAACTTGGAGACCCGAGCGTAGACGCCGGGTTTCATGGCGTTGGCGCATCCCAGACCCCATGATGTCACACCCTGTAGGACAAACCCTGTCTGGCTATTACACACCAGAGGACCACCGCTGTCACCCTGCAGGGACAAAAACAGACGTGAAGCAGAATGTATTTTCCAACTTGTACACATTTGGTGCATTAGATGATTTTCAGTTCAACTGCTACCAAAACCAGGCAGGAAAAGAACCTCAATAAAAAAGGAAGGCAGAGCACGTTTCTTACCCACAGCCTCCATCTGGAGCCACAAAAGACTTTATGTAACTTGCTTTAATCAAAAAATATTCATTCATTATTAATTAATCATTGCAAACATGTTGAATTATATGTTAGTGTGAAGACAAATGTAACATGTTCAGCTGGACCTGTCAGGGTTACACTAGAAATTAATTGAACCACTTGAACAATGAGTCTATTTTATCTATAATTTGACCCAATCACAGATTTTTTTTTACTAGGAAAGTGAGTTACCTAAGAATTAGAGACCTGTAAATCAAAAAGTTACTGTATCAAGAAAGTCCAGTTTCTGTATTTTCCATACCTGGCAGCTGTCTGTTCCTCCCTCGATGTTTCCGGCACACATCTCGTGGTCTTTGACTCTGCCGTTCAGGTAGGATGGACGATTACAGACCTTGTTCGCGATCACAGGGAAACCAGTTTCCTTCAGGAGGCCGTCACCTCCTGTACCTGCAACACACCTCCCAGCTGTTAGCCACCATCCTCCTCTTCCTCCTCGTTATCATTACCTTCATCAGTACAGGATTTCCCTTCAACTGGGGAATTTTGAAGAGGCGTTGCGTTACAGTTTAGGAATTTTCCAGTTGGGTTGTTTCACCAACTTGTTCTACACATTCAGTGTATCGGATCTAGTGTGTTAGCATGGATCAAATATTCTATTACCAGTGTTGGGAAGTAACTCATTACTAGTTTCCCCAGTAACTAGTAGTGTACCTACTTACTAATATATTCAGTTTGTTGTATTTTCCCACTATTTTCCAACAATCCAATAACATCCTCGGATACGTTTTTGTAATCGTGGAGGAAACTAGCTAGAAGATGGAAACATTTAGTGGCTGAAAATATTCCAATTTCTTTACTGATTTTAATTTCAATAATCATTTAATAAGTCTGAATTAATTTATGGTATCAGAAAAGTAATATACTAGTAGTGGAGCTAATTACTGTTGGCAGGGAGTAATAAGTAAAGTAATAAAAGTATGAATAAAATAAATGAATAATGAGTAATAAATTAAACCTTTTGAGTAACTCGTCAAACCTGTCTATTACGATAAAACATACAATATTTAACCTCTAAATATCTCATTTCAAAAGGTACACACTTTAATACAAACCAGCACATTGTATATTCAGGCCGCTACAAAATCAATAAAGATACTGCTCAAAATGTCTCTGTCTCAAGCTCCAACTTGGAATTGTGTAACATACAGAAACCAACAAATCCTACTCTCTATTCAAAAGACTGACTCATTTGATAGTCTATTAATAATAATAATAGACTTTTTTTTAATATTAAAACAAATATCCAAAGCTTTGTTCAAAAACCTCAGTAGAAACCCTAAACCCTGACCTTAAAACCAAGTCTTTACCCTCAAACAGCCCTTGAAAGAAATATTAAAGTGCAACCGTCCAAATGGGGTCTCTTTGGCACAACACATAACGAACTTTACCTTGAGTTTCACCCCATCCAGTAACGTAACACTCAGTTTCACTGGGAACAGTGTAATCCTTCTCTGGCAGACAAGCTGGCAGCACTTTGTCATTTATTAGTACAGGGCTGGAAAAACACAAGAAACGCACACAAAGGAACAACAGTGTCAGTGGTGATTATTATTAAATACTGATTATTAATGAAATCTCTAAAACATCACACAAATTACCATCACAAGCTCAATCTGATGTCATCAAAGTGTTTTTTTTAGAACAGAAATACAAAAAAATACATCAAATATTTTATTTACAGTTACATAAATAAAATGTAAATGAAGTTTGAAAAGCTGTGCACAGCAAATGTGAAGTATTACGGTTGTAAAAGATGAATATTCTTCAATTTGCCAAACCCCACACTTTTAAGTTACTGTTTGTTGTACAAAAGCAGGCTTCTAATATAAAGCAAGTAACTTATTTTTAATATATATAGCAAGTAATAATCAGTATCATTATGATTATTAGCACCTGAACTCATATTTGTAGTGGGAGGAGGATCAGTCCAGTACTCACGTCTGTAGTTTAAGCAGAGCGATGTCGGATCTGTTGGGTCCTAACACCAGTTTCTCCAGGTTCCTCTCTTGTTTGGACGGCTCAATGGCTCTCTCTGTGTGGATCCCCAGGAGCACCTTGTAGGCTGAGGGCCGTTTGGACCTACAGTACACAACAGATTTATTATTTTTTTTAAATACAGATTATACAGTGGTAGTTACTACAGGATTTGGTCTTTAGATGTTTTTCAATTGTTTGTCTGACCTCTCCAGGCAGTGTGCGGCAGTAAGGACCCACTGAGGGTGAATCAGAGTTCCTCCACAGAAATGAACCCCTGTACTGGTAGAAGAGACAGACAGAAATGTATTTAAGTAGGACAGAAGAAACACCCCCAGCTGAGATAATATGAATATACAGAGATCAAAAGTAAAATAAAGGAAAACATAAAATAAGAAAACAGTCCCATGGAATCATATGCTTGTATTGTTCTACTCACTTGGTTCGGAGGCTGATTTGCCACGGCCACGAATAAGGTTTAGACACGCAGCCTCCCACAATACGACCAAAACAACGCTTTGGTTTGGTGACTGGCGTGCCACACTTAAGTCCAGCTAAAGAGAAAGGAGTGAAACACAACGTGACTTTGTTTGAATCAATCGGTATCAGTCAACAAAACGTAACATGTACAGCCTCTGAAGCTGGTGCTCATTATACTTGAGATAGCTGAAGTTTTGGACAACAAGTGGATTCTATTATTGGTGCCTGTCTGCAGTATAGGTCATAAAGCCCGTTGCCTCCATGTCAGCAGATGAGACATGATCCAAACTAATCAAATCAAAGTACAGGTTTCTGTCATTTTAAGTAGTTCTTATCACGCTATGTTCAAGTGTTAATTTTTCTTCAAAGTTTGTTTTTACTTAGTTATTTGAGGCTATAAAAAGGGGGTTTCACATGTCGACGGCTGTAACTAACAGTTATTTCCGTTATCTATTAATCAGGTCATTTTCTCTATTAATTGATAAACCATTTAGTCTAGTGTCACAGTAAAAATTGTCCATCACAATTTTCCAAGGCCAACAGTAAAGTCCTCAAATTGTTTATATTGTCTGACCAACCGTCCAAAACCTAAAGAGATTCTATTTACTATCATCAACTGTCTGGACACAGGTTGTCATTTGTCATTTACGATTGGTTGCCAAGCTTCCAGATGGTGGATCTTACATAATACGACCATGTAGGACCAGAGCAGACCTGAGCGGGGCTGGCCCGTGCTAACTGAGTTAACTAAGGCCTGTCAGTAGGATTCATCCTCTGTGGACTATGAATGTGTGTACCTAATTTAATGATGATCCATATTATGCAATAATTTTTCTCAAGCCACGTGGGTAGAGTGGTTAAAAAGTTAAATAATTAACTGTAATGTCCTACGCATACATACCACAGTCGGGGATCTGACAGTAGTCCCACTTCTTGTTCCTGTCAGTAGTGTAGCACCACGGCCCGTTAACGTCGTTATCTGGGTTTCTGCAGCTCTGACGGTGACAATGAGAGAATCAACAAATTGGAAACAAATATAATGATTTACCAGCTTCTGAATTATCATTAAATCTAACAGGAAATGCCATCACTCCAAAAGTCTGCACCTCAAAATGGTTCCTATAGGAAGACACACACTTACGTTGCCATCCAGACCCTTAGTGGGGTGCGATTGTGGAGTGAAACTGTTGTGTTGGTGAGGGGTCTGAGCACTCCAAGCCTGGCAGGTCACGCCCAGAATGGTGATGGAGGTCGGACCCCGGTATGTTTCTCCATTTCCAATTTTACAGTCTAGCACAGCAACCGATAAACAAGTAGGTAAATAAAGGATAAAATAAACTGGAAAGCGAGCTTAAAACACACATTTTAAAAGAATATTTTACCCCTCTCCGGTGTGGTCTGGGTGGCAGTGGGGGACTCGGGGGACTCGGGGGACTGGGGTATAGGCGGTCTGGTGGGTGATGCTCCTGCAGGATTTGCGCTACATTTCTCCAGGTTGCAGTACTCCCAGCGGACTCTGGGGTCTGTGGTGTAACACCAGGGAGCTCGGTCTCCGTCAGGGTTCCTGCACAGATTCCTCCTGAGGTCCCTGTTGAAAGAGAAAACCTGGAACTTCAGGACAGCAGGAACCCACATCCTACAAGGTTTTGTATTTTAACTCCAAGAATCAAACAAGGTAAGGAGCTAATGATCTCTGCTGGTTTGTAAATCTCAACTGATTTATGAGCTCAGTAAACAGTTTCCTAATGAGTTTATGGTCTCAATCTCTATTTTAAAGTCTTTTTCCAAACAGCACGATGTTAATTTAGTAAATTATAGTCCCATTTAGACAACAGACAATAAAGCAGGCAAGTATGCTTTAGGGCAGTGCTGATGAATACAAGACTGTGGCTGCGTTTCATTAGTCGTTCAACACGCCCTCGTTCACTTGCCCTCGGGGGAATCCCCGCCGCCATCATAAGTGTCGTTCCAATTGTCTGGAAAACTGAAGTGAATTTGGTGAGATGGACCCTCGGAGGGCTGAGGGAGCGAGTGAACAACGATGGTCACTCCGAGGTGGATATCAC